CTTTCATGGATCCAGGCCTCAAGTGAGAGGGAGTCAGGGAAGGGCAGGTGCCCTGGCCTGTAAGGAAGCCTGGGGACATAGGGTTGAGTCATCCATCTGAGGAACTCTCCAGTGCTCTGAGATCCTCAAAGGAAATACAGCACACTGTTCCAACCCCAGCTTCTTTGCAGCCGTGTATTATTAATAACAATAAGATGCTGATTTAGGCCAAGGCACAACAATGCATTATTCATAGGAGTAACTAGTGGTCAAGGCCTGCACTTAATCATCACACGTCCCGGTCTTGCCTCCGCTCCGCACTCCTGGCGGAGAGGCCCTCCATCTGAGCTCCTCCTTTCTTGGGCTCCTGCTGCTCTGATAGACACGATCATTTTCATGGCTACCCAGGCATCTCATCAGCTTTGGGATCAAGGTGGGTGGGGAGGGCGACACGTTCCTGGCTAGCTCTTTGCTACATTCCCTTCAGCCTGAGCTCCCTGCTCAGAGCTGACACCTGGCCATGTCCATCCTGAATAGCTTTGACCCTGGTGACTTCCTGGCTCAGCAGCTCTCTCTGGGGTCTACAGATGGCCTGTCCCCATCCCTCCCCCTTCTTTGGAGGCTGAACTCAAGCTGGATTCATCAGACCTTCCTAAGCCAAGAATTGTGGATGGTGGGGGCGGCGGGCAGAGGATACCGCCCCCACCACCTCCATTAAATGTGACAGTGGATGTGAAGCCCTGTGTATAGTGTGCGGCACTTTGCAAACCGTTCAGCGTCGTGCAAATGGGAGACGTTCTTCCCAAGGCCATCCTCTCTGTTGGAGGAGAGAGTGGAGGTAGGGAAGGTGTGGACGAGGCCCTCGTGGTTGGCCAGGCCTGCCTCCCTGGTGAGAAGTCGGAATGCTTGTGGATCCTGACGTGTCCCCGTCCAATTTCTTGCTGGAAAGACTCCTGGCCCATCCAGATAATCCTTCATTCGCTGTTTACTCACTTGGCATCTCGTCTGAATTCTAAACCGTCTGCACCCAGCCGGCCTCTGCGGCCCCTGCCAGCAGGCTCTCCCTGGCTCGCTCTCGCATTATCTGTTTTTATTACAGTCAAGGTTGAGGAAGCTTGCTCGTGCTAAGCCCCTATTTTCAGCTACTTGTAACTTTCCAAAACAGTTCCCCTTGGGGTTCCTCTTCTGCCAGCCTTGCTCCCACCCTAGGCGAGGCCTGAGGGGTTGTGGGCATCTCTGCTGCTTTCTGAAGGACACTCACAGAGAAAGTCCTGCGGGCAGTGGGGGGAGGATCAAGGCCCATTTTCTTGGGAGGGAGTGCTGCCTTCTCCCCGCCTTCCTTTTCTCTCTTCCTTTCTCCCCGCCCATCTCATTGTCTTTTTCCTCTTGCAAGAAAAAGAGCTGCCCTGTTCCCAGGTGGGTGGCCTGGAGCAGGGAGCTTCAGAGTGGAGAGAGGACACCAAATTGTGCGTGAGGCCAAGAAGCAGAGCTCTGCCTGGCTGCCTGGGCTTCAGGGTTCGGCTCCCTGGTTTCCGTTCTGTTCTCTCCCCACTCCTGCCTCTTTCTGGTTTTCTGGTGTGTGTTGGGTCGGGGGCCAGAAAGGAGGAAGTATAGGCAACAAAAATGTCCCCCTTCCCATGCCCACATTGCCCTGGGGCTCGTGGGCTCTGCCCACTTCCAGTGCCCTCCCATCTTCCCCCTTTCCCATCTGCTCAGCCTGCGTGTGGAGGGTGCGTCCTGAGAACCTGTGACTCCAGCTTTCACTGTTCTCCACCTTGAACGTCATCCGGGGGGTGGGGAAGGAGCTGCCGAGTGCAGAAGGTGGGAGGAGGCGGGCTCAGGCTGGGAAGGTGCTGGCAGATGAGCCCAGACCACCCCAAGGGCACTCTGCTCCATCTCCGAATAGTGGCTGGACCCCAGTCAGTACTAGAGACGGGCCCTGGGCACATCCTCGGGCAACACCCTCCGCCTTCACTCCTAACCTGCCCAGCTCCGCACCTACTCCCTGGCTTGTTCTGGGGCCCTTAGGCAGCCTGAGCCTCCATCTACAGAGGGCGCTTTACCAAGGCCAGTGCCTGGGCTGGTGGAGGGGGACAGTTCTAGGAAACACATGTGACCTAGGGGCCTCTGAAGTGCCTGGGGAAACTCAGCCCTGACTCTTTGATAAACTTCTTGGGCGAGTGGGAGCCCCTCCCTGGCTGCTCTCTATTCAGTGCTCACTCTCCTTCTCCTCTCCTCCAGCCGCTGTCTTCCAAGTGATTGTTTCAAGCCATAGCTCCCCTGGGGTGGAACAAGAGGGACAGCTGCCGACTTTAATTCCCACCGTCCTCAGGTCCAATCTTGGCTTTGCTTTCTTCTGCTGTAAGCTCCTGGGAAGCACTGAACCTTTTCTAGCCTCAGTTTCCTTCACTGTGAGATGGGAAGAACTTGGGATCTGGGGGTGCCAGCCTTCAAGAGAGGGAACAGTCTATATCAGGACAGTTTGGGGAGCCCCTGAAGGACTGGGCATAGGGAGTATGCATGTCTCCATCTAGGAGTGCAAGAGCAAGTAAATTCTGGGGAAGAGACATGTGTACAGATTCTCACTGTGTCCTCCTGTGGCTTCTCTGCACTGTGGTCTGGGCTGCAGGACAAGGAAGACTCTGAGAAATGGGAAGACAAGGTGTCACCCCATGGGCTCTATTCAGGGTACAGTTCTAGCCTCAAGAAAAGGGGATCGATCAGAGGGTCAGATCATTCAAATTTGGGGAGGGAAGCATCTGCTGTGTCTGTCACAGAGGAGAGCTTCCTGGAGCAGGTGGGCTTCCCTGGAGTCTTGAAAAATCCCATGCATGTGCTTAGCAGTCATGCATCCAGCCTCTCCTATGTACCTTGGACTGCAGGGATGAAGGCTGAGCCTGGGGTCTCAGTCCCCTAGGGGCCCCCAGTGTGGGAAGGACATAGAAAGAGCCAATTATGAACCCGATATAGTTCCTGGGAAGGCAGAAAGAATTGTGGGGGGGGGGGAATGAAGACCATCTTTGGCTAGGTGCCTTGAGGACAGAGGATGTAAGGAAAGGCCGCGCAGACAGAGGGAACAGCTCACGCGAGACCCCGAGGTGCAGAGGAGAGGCCTGCTGCAGGAAGGAGGAGAGGCGGGTATGGGTGGATGGTGCCATGGAGCCGGTGTAGATGTTGCCACATGGTTCTGCTTAGAGGGAGGCCATGATAGCATGGGAGGAGAGGACCGGCTCAAGTGCCTTACTTCTCCTTGCCTCTGTCTCTTCCCCTGTGAAATGGGGGTAAGAATGGCCAGAGGTGCATAGAAACGTCCTGACACAGTATGTGCCACACTGCATGTCCTCCATGAATGTTGGCGCTCCTTTGATCCCGGCAGCACCCCAGCAGAGGAAGTCAGGACTTATTATCAGACTTATTATCATCATTTGAAGGTAAGCACTGAGATCTACTGTGGGCCTCGCCTTGGGTCATGTAGCTGGTCAGGGACGGAGCCCGGGCTTGTACCTGGGTCATCTGCCACCACGTCTACGGCTCATGTTCTGCTCGGCCTCAGGAGGAAAGGCAGAATGTGAGCAGACACAGGATGGCAAATTCCTGGAGGAGAGAGTTCCAGGCCAGAGGAAGTGTGTGAGTGTCCAGATGCATGAATGGCAGCGTGCACCAGACATGGTCATGGTCATGGCCGTGCCCGTGGGTGTGTACATTGTATGTGTGAGTGTGCACGCGTGTACTATGCCAGGGTGAGTCTCCATGACATGTGTGTGTGAGAGAGCCCTGGGTGTCTGTGGCTCTCCTCCCACGCCCCCCCCGGGCAGCTGCTGCGCTTGCTCTCAGAAGTCCCTTCCCTCCCCAGTAGCTCCCCGGGGCATCCCAGCAGCCAGCAGGGCCGTTTGATTCTGTTCATCCATAAATCATGACTTGCTGAGGAAATGAGAAGGGGTTGGGAGTGGGGGCAGAGCCCTGGCAAGGGACCAAGTTGGGTCTACAGTTCACACCTGAGTCCCAGCCTGACTTCCAGCTGCCGCCCCCACCCCCTGTCCCCATGCCTCCGCCCTCCCCCTTCCATGTCATGCATGTTCACAGATCCTTGCGATGGTCAAGTCCTGGGCCAGGGAGTGGGTGCACAGATTGAGTAACATGGGACCCCTGACCTCTGCTGCCCTGTGGGGAAAGCTAGAGTATTTCCAGTTTGGCGTTTCATTCAGCACTCACTGAGCTCCGTGTCCCAGATATCTCTAGTACAGGGCGTGACATGGTAATGCCATGATAATAACTAGCATTTATTGCCAACCTACTCCATGCCAGGCCCCGTGCCAAGTGCTTTATATGTACTCGTTCCTGTTAACTTCCCAACAGACCTGTGAGAACTGTACTGTCATTAGCCCCCATTTACAGATGGGGAAAGCAAGGCATGCAGAGATAATGTCACATGGCTGGGAAGAATCTGAGCTAGAAATTGAGCCCGGGCAGTCTGACTCCAGCCCTGGCACTTGTCACTCTACTCCACGTTTTTGTGGGGTTTTTTTTCCCTTTCATTTGGTAGTAGGGGTGGAACTCAGGGGTGCACTACCACTGAGCTACATCCCCAGACCTTTTCATTTATTATTCTGACACTGGGTCTCGCTAAGTTGCTAAAGGTCTTGTTAACTTGCCCAGGCTGGCCTTGAACTTGCAGTCCTCCTGCATCAGCCTCCTGAGATCTGGAATTACAGGAGTGTGCCCTGGCCACCCAGCTTCACTGCTATCCAAGTTGGAGGCAGGCACAGTGTGAGGGGGGGACTCAGGCAGGAGAAATTAATCCCCACAGGGCAGATTAAGGAAGGCTTCATGGAGGTGGGATTTTCATTTGGGTCTAGGAAAAATCAGAAGTGTGTCAGGCAAAGTGGGACACGGGGGGACAACAGAAGGGTCCTGAGGTGTGTGTGTCTGTGTAGAAGTGGCTCTGAAACTCTGTCCTTGATGGCTATCCCAATCTCTTCTTTCCATCTTGTTTGGGTGACAAATGAGATCACAGACAAGCATTGAACATTCAACAAATATTTGCTAAGCAACTCTGTGTGTCAGATACCATACTTCTCACAAAGGGTACTGCAGCAAGCAAAGCAGATATAGCTCCTATGTTCACAGGCCCCACTGTGTAGTATACCATAGGTGCTTAATAACTGGTAGCCTCCATTGTTATCTTTATTCCAAGAGGGCTGGCTTTCTTCCACATTCATTCTTACAACAAGCTTTTATCAAGCACCTACTATATGCCAGGCTTTGTCCTCAGTGCTGGGAATAAATATAGTGGTGAGCAAGAAAGCAAGCCCTACCCTCACGGAGCTGACTTGCTGGAGAGGGGGACTGTGCATGGACAGGTTGTCCTCCCTCGGAGTGGGACTATCTCCCGTGGCTCACAGGCTTGATCTGAGATCTGCTTGGGAAGCGGCTCAGCCAGGAGCACCGGCTCTGCCCACAGGATTCAGAGCATTCGCCCAGAGCTCTGATTAGCTGCATGCCCACCACAGACCCGGGGTGGGGGGCAGCAGCAGGCTGAGCCCACGCAGCACTCCCAAGACACCCCCGGGATTGGTCTGGCAGGCTTGGTTCTGCCCAGCTCCCGGCTCACCCTACCTCCCAGGTCTCCCGATGTCATCTGTCTGCCCTTGTCTGCATCTCACCCTCAGGGACCCGGGATGTCTCCTCTGCCCAAGGATAGGTTGCAGAATTCAGCCCTGTCAAAGGCTGACTAGACCTGCAATATTTTCTTTCCCCAGATGTTAATATGCTGACAATAAGGGGACTTGAAACCATGTATGTCATCTGAGGAAGGGATGGAAGGGCCCGGGCGGCTTTGCCTGGAGAAGACTTGAAGGGGACATGAAAACTGTCGGCAAGGATTTGGAGGCCAGTCATGCGGCCGAGCAGCCCGCTTGCTCCCCGCAGCTCCGGAGGCAGGCTCAGGACCACAGGGGAGGGTTCGAGGGAGTCGGCTCAGTGCAAGGCACAGCGGGCCTCACCTCACGGTGCATCGGGGAGGGCCAGCCTCCTGCAGAGGCAGCTCCCTGTCAGTGCCCGGGCTGCCCAGGGGGCTGTGCGTCGGTGGGGCCTGACTCATGACTTTCAAGGTCCCTTCCAGCCAGAGACACCGTGACTCCCTGCTCTGGGAATGGTTCGCTCTGACTGGCAGGCGAGAACTCGCTTGCACCCCTTGACGGTAACATCACTTGAGGGCACGCCGGCCAAGGACGCCTTGTCACTTTTACTCCCAACATCAAGGCAATTTGCAGTGGCAAGCGTTTGTCTCACCCTGCCTTCAAGGACTGTCCAAGGGATGCTGAGGGGGGTCGGGGATCTTGGGGAGGGGAAGAGTCAGCTTCCTAAAAGATGATGGCGTTCTTTACGCTGCAGGGGACCCTAGAGTCACCGTTCCAGAGGGGTTTCAACTTCCCTTAGTAACACATCCCCTTCTTCAAATGGAATTTCCTGCAAAAGCTCAAGATGTGAAGCTGAGGGAAATGACGCTGCTCTGACTGGACAGGGCTTGAGAGGCCACAGCCGTATCTGCTCAGCCTCCGCCACCACAGCCCCTGAGAGATTCCAGGGAACCCTGGGGGTTCCAAAGAGCACACTTTGAGAACCACTAACCATCCACCTCTGGAGTGGATGATGGGATGTCAAGGCAAAGAGTATGAACTCTGAAGCAGATCACCAGGGTTTAAACCCTGGCTGTCCCACTCACTAGCCAAATGACCTTGAGCATGGCATTTGACCCCTCTTTGACTGAGTTGCCCCAGGAAACTCGCAAGGTTTACCTCAGTTGTTGCTGTGAGGATTAAGTTACTTTTGCAACGCGGAGCACCTGGAACTCCTGGGCTCATCCTCTGAGCAAGGAAGGGTCAGTTTTTCCACAGATGGCAGCACTGATGTCAGTGGCTTGCCCCTGGGGCAGGACTTGGTTGCTGCAGGTTGTCCAGGTCAGAGCTCATGGTTGCTGTGGCCCTGGAGTTGACAGTGAACTGGGCACAGGGACTTCCTGCAGCGTGAGGCTGCACACTTGTACAGGAGCAAGCTCTGTGGGCACGGCGGGTGGACACGGGGAAGCCTTCTCTGAAGGGAGAGATGGGGCGCAAGAGGCATTCTGGAGAGAACAGGTAGTGAATGGGCTACAGGGTCCTGGAGTGGTGGGAGGGAGCCCCGGGAGCCCTCGGAACTGGGCATGACCGCCGGGCCTTCCTCATGGCCACGCAGGAGACGCCAGGAGAGGAAGAGAAGGCGGAAGCTAAAACCGCGGGAACCAGGACCAAACAGATATTGTCAACTCTTAATTACCACAACCACTGGCACTGAAGAGCCCACGCAGGCGCCTCTGTAAATAAACCACATCTCCTTGACTTCAGAACGCCTCGCAGGGCGCTCCGGTTTACTGTGCACGTGGGGCTCTGCCTTCTCTCCACTCACTCCCCCACACGATCATTTTTGGTCAAGCTTTCGCCTTCCTTATGCTTGGTTTGGGCTGATGTTTACAACCACCTGTGAAGAAAGCAGGGGAGGTGGCTTAGTGCAAAGCCACCCAGCTAGGAAGAGGAGGGACTCCCTGAAGTGAATGGCCCTGAGCTCACAGAATGGAAGCCTCAGGGTAGCCCCCACCCTGAGCATTTGGGACTTTGTAAACGATGAGATGGGGTTGCAACCGTGGGTGGAGGGCAGAGGTGAGCTCATAGGCACAGCTGGAGAAGGCAGGGGTGGGCAGAGGCCAGTGGGTGGGCTTCCAGCCCAAAGGAAACTGAGTTAAGGTGAGCGGAGGGGTCCAGGGATTTCCCCTCTCATTACACATGTGGCTGTTGAGTCTTGGCCAAACCCTTAAGAGGGACTGTAGGAACTAGTCCTTTAGGTCCATTTCACTGTAGTTGTCACTCAGTGTGTGTGTGTGGGGGGGGGGGGCTGGGGACCTGGAAGGGCAGAAAGCCACGAGGACACAGCACCTACTTTAGAGGGATTGATGCACCTACTAAGGGCTGGCTGAGCTGAGGGGCACATATGGCCTCTCCCTTTCAGGGTGTCAAGTTTGGAGAATGGTATGGAGACACCAAAAAAAGATGCCAGCTGGCACAATTCTCCCAATTTATAGATGAGGAAACTGAGACACGGAGGGGTGAAGTATTTCCCGAGTTTACCCAGCAAAGCAGAAGTGGGAGTAGAACCAGGGCTCAGAGCTCCCAGCATTGAGGCCAGAAGATGGAAGGCGGGGTGCTCTGGGATGAAGGAGAGTGGCTGTCCCTGGCCAGTGAGGGTCTGACATGTGCCTGTCCTCCCCAGGGGCGCCCACCCGCGATGTCCTGCTGGTCTCTGCCATCATCACCGTCAGCCTTAGCGTCACTGTCGTCCTCTGCGGCCTCTGCCACTGGTGTCAGCGCAAACTGGTGAGGCTCCTGAGGGCCCCTGGGGCGTAGGCGGGGCCTGGCCCTGCACCCCCTCACTCTGCAGCAACGGGCTGCGCATTCTCGCGAGTGTGCGCCCGCCCGGATGGACCACTTGCCCATACAGATGCACTTCACGGAAATTCCCACTACACACACGCCCTGAGTTTGTCCGGGTCTTAATCCCATACTTCTTTTTACACTCAGAGCCACACATCTTGGGACACACATTCATGGACAGACCTCGGTCTCAGTCACCGCACTACACACATGCGTGCACGCGTGCGCACGCGCCCCACCTCCCGCATAAAGAACCGCAGACTCACACGCGCTGACTGAGAATTGAGGCCCCTTAAGCGCCAGCGCCGCGCCCCTCCCTTCGCTGTCCCGCTAGATGGGCGTGGCAGAGCCCAGTCTCCTGGCCAATGAGGAGGCACCGCCCGCCCCGCCCCACCCCACCCCCAGCCATGGCACATCCATCCTGATTCTCCCGGTTTGTACAAGCACAAACGGCTTCTTTTCATTTTTAACGAGGGCTGGGAAATTAAAGAGCAGGATTAGGCCATCAATAAGTAACGAGGTCGTCTAGAGGGACATTCATCACCCGAGGGCGCCGGGAGGGGAAGCGGGCTACTGCCACCTTACCCACTCACCCACCCGCAGCCTGCAGCCCGCAGCTCTGCAAGGGGCACTTCCCGCAGGCCCTCACTCCCTGCCACTCATCTGGTGTTTCGCTGCCCTGCCCAGAAGCGTGGTGGGCCCAGAGGTGTCTGTGAGGTGCAGGGCTTTGCAGGCATCCTCCAACCCGAGCCGAGAATGGTGTGAGTGGGGGCAGGGTGCCACATCTGGAACCCCGTTTTCCCCTGCCCACTCCCAGAGGTGCCATAAGGTGGATAGGGCTCCATGCCCCACTCCTATGGAGGAAGAGGAGGAGCAGATAGCCTTGGGAAAGGGTTGTGGGGTCTTGTAGGGGGCCTATGGGACCCAAGCAGCCCATAACCTAGCATCTCCTTCAAGAAAGGCAAACTCAGGAGCCGGGATCTACCTTGCCATCCACCCAGGGATTTTGAGCACCAGGCAGCTTTGGCCCCTGGGAAAGAGCCACGGGGGCCAGCAGCTCCATATGTGCATGTGTGCAAGCGTGTATGACCTGGCCTACTCCCTGTGTGCAGGTGGTGGTCCTTGGTTGGCTGCTGTGCATTGTTCCCAGGTCCCCTGTGTCTACATCTGTCTCATAATTTCAGGGGAGGTGTCAGAGGGGAATTGGTCACGTGCCTTGGTGTGCAAGTGTCCTCTGAGGCCGTGGAAATAACAGCTCACACTGCAGCCCTGTGTGTTGCAAGACTGTGTTTCAGTCTGTATTTGAAGGCAGGGGGAAAGGTTGTACAAACAGGTACTGCTGGTGACTTTGCGTGTGCATGGGGGTGGGGTGTGTGTGTGTGTGTGTGTGTGTGTGTGTGATTTGTGCAGCGTGTGTTGACTTTCAGGGCACTGGTGCAGCATGTGTGTGTATACGTATGTGCACGGGTGTGTGTGTGTCCATTCTGAGCAGTGAGATGTGGATTATATCATCAGATCTTTGTGTGACTGGCACTGAGGTATGCCCCCATCCCAGCCTCTCCTGCATGTGCCACAATGTGTGTGCACCACTCTGTGCGTATGCCCATGTGTGCATGCATGTGTGTTGAGACGTGCCTTCTAGGACCAGGTTACTCTGAGCCCCACTCACCTCCAATCAGCACAAAGCCTGCAGACAAGGGTTCAAAGATGACAGCTTTGGAAGCAGGAGGGGGCCAGCAGTCCAGGGAGCGCTGGGGAGATGCAGAGCCAGCCTCTTCCCTGGTCCCAGCATGCCCCCAGCCACCAGCCAGGAACTCTCCCAGGGCTCCAAACTACAGTCTGTCCCTCTTGACTCAATAGAACATTACTTTCTCAGTCCTTCAACCTACCGCCCCCAGCCCCTGGCCCCATGGGTTCCAGGCATCAGGGAGCTTTATGACTGGGCTGTTTCCTTGCTCCATGGAAGGAGCTTTAAAATGCTGTCCCTACGAACAGTTGCTGGGCTCTCCTTGCCTGCCTGTCCCCTCAGCAGCAGTGACGTGATACCCTGACAGCCCAGATCCCATTTCCAAACATTAATAACTTCCTTAATCTCCAGCTGGCTTTTTCCGGATCAGCCTGGCTAGCCCCCTTCCTGATAAGCCTGCTGGGGGTAGGGGCTCCTTTGGAGCCACCTAATGTCTCCTAACCCTTCCTGGATTTCCTATTAACTTGGGTTGCCCTATTAAAGTCCCCTGCCCCCTCTCAACCAAGCCGTGCCTTGGTCCTTCTCCACAGTACCTCCTGCTGCCAGGGACAGCTGCAGTCAGAAGGGACGGTTCTCTGAGCTGTAGGAAGAAGAGGGGCCGACAGAAGCCCCCAGAATGCCCTGGGTGAAGCGGAATCACCTACCTCAGCCCAGTCCTGCCTGGCCTTGGGGAAGGGGCAGCCAACTAGCCTGAGGAGAGGGTGCTGGCCAGGGCAAGTTCTCCAGTCAAGACCAGAAATATGAGAGAGGGTGAGGCACTGGGGGTGCCTGCAGGAGGGCCCACCCTAGAGAACAGTGGGTACCGGGCTCCTGCCAAGGGTCCTGCTAAATACAGCGTGGCCCCTAGATGTTCCCAGTCAGTACTGGAGTAGTTTGAAATTTGAACTTCCAGGTAATGAGGAGAGTGACAGGAGACGGAGCTGAGAACACTCTGTAGACCCAGAGGGTCCAGCAGCTCTGTGATTTAACTCTTGAGATTCTGGCTCTGGCACCAGCTGGGCCCAGGCCCCCACTGTGGGTGGGTCCATAGAAGAGATGCTTCCACTACTGGTGAGTACCAGGTCCCCCTCTAGGGACCAGGGAAGGGACAGCCCTGCCTTTGTGCAGCTCCATTCCAGGGAGAAGGAGCTGAAGGAAGCCAACAGAGAAACAATGGAGTCTAGAACAGGGCATATCATCCTGGGGGGGGTGCGCATCTAGTGACATCACACCATTTCAGACAAGAGGAAAGAGACCAGAGGGGAAGGGACTTGGCCAGAGTGGCACAAGGAGCATTTGACATCACTGGGGTGCTGGAGGGGTGCTGGAGGTAGAGTGAGGGCTCTCCCTAGCCCCTGGCCGGGAGCTCCGTGCCTCTCCCTGGACAGGCGGCTCCCGTGGCAGGGCAGGGGCTGCCGCTGGCAGGAGCTCAGGGAAATCCGCTCTGGTGACTCTCATTTTGCTTTCAGGAGAATGGAATAATTGACTGTTGTGGCTGTGGTGCTGGTGCACAGGACAGAATGTCGAGGAAGCATGGGGTGCATGTGTGTCTGTCTGTCCCCACTGTCCCCACCTAGCCAGGCAGGGGCAGGCCAGTGCCAATGAGTAAATGGACCTGGTGGGGGAGACCGCTTCAGCCCCCACGCAGCCTCCACCCTCCACTGCCTGTATCAGCCCAGAGCCTGGTCCAGGCCCCGGGCCCATGGGTGCGTGTGAGGACGCTTGGTGGCAGCCAGGAATGTTAATGGGGCCGGGCTCTGCATGAGCTAAATTTAGAAACCCAAACCGAGAAGGTGACTGGCACTCACCTTCCTGGCCGGCAGGCCCACTCGCCACTGCAGAGTGGCCCTTCCTCTAGCTGGAGGGCCTGGGTGTCCACCCCCTTCCCTCCCCTGTCCCCTCCTTATGCTGCTATGAGGGACTCTGGGGGATGTCCAGGGGCAGGCTGCCCCCCACACCTATGCCAGCCTATAGCCTCTCTTCCCAAGGCTCCCTTCTTCAAATGGCCCTCACAGCCCCAGGGCACCAGGACCCCAGGGAGCCCCCAGGTAGTGACGGACATAGCCATGGGCAGGACTGGCACGTGGCCCTCTCCCCGCCCCCACTGCTCACGTCACTGGCCACTGCCAACCTTGCCCTACAGGGTGCCGCCCCCACCATCTGGGGTTGGTGACGTGGCCAGTGTGACGTGGCCAGGCGCCTGAGAGCCGTCTGTCCGTGGCAGAGGGAACTGTTTCTGGGAGCCAGGCCAAGGCCCAGGAGATGGGCAGACAGGAGGAGCCTGGTACCTGGGGGTCAGGCTGAGGTGCATATGGTGAGTGGCAGGCAGATCCTAGAGCCCACTGGGGCCCAGAAGCCACCAACCAGGGAGCAGGTACTGATGGGGCTGGCACCCCCCAGTGGTGATACCCCCACACACAGTCCTGGACCTTGCTGCCGAGGCTGGACTCTGATCTCCTCCCTTAACCTTGGGGTTCCTGTCCTGGGGAGGTGGGGAGAGTCCGGCCCCGACCCCTAAGAGTGACCCTGGTGCTGTCTCCACAGGGCAAACGCTACAAGAACTCCCTGGAGACGGTGGGCACGCCAGACTCGGGGCGTGGGCGCAGTGAGAAGAAGGCCATAAAGTAGGTGCCAGGCTGCCAGCTTGGGGGGCACATAGGCGACCCAGGTGGGAGGAACCCCTTCCTCCTCCTCAGGCCTGGCCACACACACAGTCCACAGTGTCCCCTTGCCCCTGAGGCCATGCTCAGTATCTGCTCTGCATATTCCCAGCATCTCTGGGCCTTCAGGGCCCTCCTTCTCTGCCTGTGCCCCCACTGGTCCCTCACAAGCTGTCAGAGCCCCAGTTCCTTTCTCTGGCTGTCCCCACCCCAGCACCGTCTCTCTCTGCCTCAAGCCTGGTTGCTGCTCCCTCCATCCAACCTTCATGTCACACACCTGTCCTGACCCCTGGCCGGTCCCTGGACCTCTAAGCTCCTCCCCGGGCCCTACTCCTGGGCTGGGAGCCTCCTCCTGTTGGGCTCAGGCTCTTTGCTCAGATTCTACCCGTGTTCTGAGGGCAACTTGGAAGGTGGGGTGGGCAAACCTTGGGGACCCAGCTGGTCCCAGTGCTGGACCTCTCTGGAAGCAGAACCGTGGGGAGAGTCGCCTCCCTTCCCTGTCCCCACCTCAGGTCCTGCTGCCTCTGACCTGCTCTGAGACCCGTGTGGCAGACAGGTCTGGCTTCCCCCTGCAGACCGCCTTGGCCATCCCATTACCGAGGTCCCTGGAAGATCCCGGGAGAAGCCTGCTCACCTGGCGGGAGTGGGCCGGCCTCTGGGAGTGGAGGCTTCCCTGGAGCCGTTCCATCCGGGCCCTTTCTTCCTGTGGAACCCAAGCCTTTCCTGGAAACTCAGGGGGCATGGTCACCCTCTCTTAGCCTCAGACCAAACCTGCTGGCCGAGGGGCTCTGCCAGGAAGCCGAGCCCCCAGCCCCTTCCCTCCTTTCCCTCCAGGCCTGCTGCCCTCCCCCCACCAGCCCTTTCCCTGTTTCTCTTTCTCTTTCTCTTCTCTTCCTGCCCCTGTCCCGCTCTCCCCCTCCTTCCCACTTGGAGGGCCCCTCCCTGCCCCTCCCCTGTTTTCATCTCTTTCTCTGACCCTGGTTGGCCCCTTTACAGAAGCTGCGGAGTGTGTCTGGGGTGGGGCTGCAGGAAGGGTGGGCCAGCTGAGGCCGGGGTGGGTGGAAGCCTCAGGAGGAGGCTGTGGGGAGTCTTTGAAGCCGGGTTTGGTTGCGTGCTCTCCAGTCTTCAAAGCCGAGAGCTGGCAGGTCTCGGGGGCTGGTGCAGAGCTCAGGCCCCCAGCTTTCCGAAGGTGGGAGGGACAGTGTGGGGGAGCATAGGGCGGCACCTGTGCCACTCCAAGCTGGGCTGTCTGCAGCCACTGGCCCCGGGGCTGCAGGGACTATCTGTGCCAGGTGATCAAACAGGGGTGCATGTAGCCGGGCCAGGAATCCTGGAAAGGGCCACCAGAGAAGACAGGATTCCCAGCAAGGGAAGGCAGGCCAGCAGGGCCAGCAGCCATCTCTGCCAGGCTGGGACCAGTGCCCCTGAGGGTTCTCTAAGACAAGGTGAGGCAGCAGCACCGTCCAGCCCAACTCTACCCTGAGCCCACCATCCACACAACCTAAGACCACCCTCACCCTGCTGGGCGAGGGGAAGGGAGTCACTGCCTATGTCTGTGTGACCCATATTCCCAGGCTTGTGCCACTTATTTACTGCACAACTCCTGGTGGACTTAGGACCTCCCTAAGGGATTGTCTTGTCAAGGATTCTGGGAAGCTTCGTTCTTGATCAGCGTTTCCTTCACCGTGTTCCTTGGAGCACTTGTGCCCCATAAATGATTAATGGTTTGCCATGAATCAGGGGTTCCACCTGCAATCAAGTTTGGGGAACACTGTGTGTGTACTCTGTCTCCCTTTTGGTGATACTGATAGTCATGGGCGGGTTAAAGGCTCTGCCTTGTCTGCGTAAAGGAACCACACGCGCACACACACACATACTTCCTGAATTAAAGATCCTCTTTTCTAGTGACACAGTGAGAACCTGAGGGACCCTGGAACTCCATGGGACACAGGGCAGGAAACTAGCCTGGCAGTGGCGCTGGGTGGATCTTTCTCTCTAGGACCTAGTGTTGGGTGGCTCTCAATTTTGGAGATCTGAAAGGAGAAGGGGGAGGGAGGCCATCCACCTGCTCCCGCTCTGTGACACCTGATGTAGGGAGGCCCCATCCACACCTTCGTGTGATGCCCTGTTGCCAAGGGGCCCCAAGGACAGCTCTGATGGGGATGGGGTCATTTGTCAAGGGAGCGGCTTCCCCTGGCGCCCATCCTGCCTCTCCTACCCCCACCCCAGCCTCCTTGTCCCTGGAACTGGCTCGGGGCTGGGGCTTTGAACATTGTGCACACAGCCCCCACCACCATCATGAGACTTTTCCAAGATGAACTTCGTACAGTCAGACATTCTGAGCCCACTAACTCTTCTGAGCCTAATGGTGGCATCTCAGCTTCTGTCACCTTTTGGTCCTTTGTTCCCGAGTGTGAGGTGAAGAACCAAGGCCAAGGTCAAACTCTCAGTGGGGAAAGAAGCAGGTTCCCCCCCAACGTTTGCCTGATCATCAGGGGGTGTGCCCCCACAGTGCCTTTCCCCCAACCACCCCTGACAGGACCTGCAGGGTCTCAGCCTCAGCGACCCGCGCACGCGCGCGCACACACGCACGCACGCACGCACACACGCACGCACGCACACGGCAGGCACCCTGCCAGCTCCTCCAGAGCCTCCCCCCCCCAGCAGCATTCTTAGGGGCCAGAGGAGGCTTCCTTCCAGAACGGTCCTTTGGCCTGGGAGCTGCCTCTCCTTTCTCTGTCCCTTGGAACCCTAGGAGTCTGACAAAGTGGTGGAGACTCTTGTTCTTGGCTACCAGGGTCTTCAGGCCACCCGGACTTTGGCCACCTGCCCTCTTGAAAGTCCCCATACTTTGGATGTGTCTAGCATACTGGCTCCTCCAGCGTGACAAGTCAGAGCAGGAAGGTCGGGGACCCTGAGGTGAGAGTCCCTTAGGAGCCCAGCAGCTTCACCTTAGTAAAGGACAGGGGCACAGAGAGGGGCTGCCCTAGCTGGCCAGCCAGGTACACACCAGGGGCCTGAGCCTGAGACCCCACATCATCCCCCAGAACAGGCTCCCTGTGCTGTCCTCAACAAGGTCAACGCCTTCCTTTCCCAGGGGCTAACCCCGGCACCACATTTGTCCTGAGTGGAGGTGCTCTCCAGCTCGCAGAGACCCTGCCCCCCGTCTCATGGACACAGTGCATCCTGTTCTTGCCAGAGGAGGAAAGAGGGCACAGGGGCCAGGGGGCACCTCAGACCAGTGGCAGGATGGGAAGGATGGGCAGGAGTGGCTCAGTGGAGATTAGGGGGAGAGGAGAGCCACCAGCCTTCTCCTTTGACAGGCAGGGGGCCTGAGGCCAGGAGAGGTCATTGGCAGCAGGATCGGATCTACTTTCCAGCTCCTTCTAGCCAGAAACCATCGCCTCACCTTCTCCCACTGCACCCACCCCACCCAGGCTTGTCCCCGACCCCCTCCCCCTCTGTGCCCTGCTCTTGTCGTCTCTCTCTCCCACCAGCTTCCCAGGCGCCAGGCTCCCGTCTGCCCATCCGCAGCTTGCCTCCTTTCTGCGTGGCCTCCCCTGGCCAGCCCTCCAGTGTGTGTGCGTGTGCGTGTGTGGGCTTGCACATGTGTGCGCGTGAACAGGTGCCAGCTCAGGCTGTGGCGCCCGCCTGCCTTTCTTCCTCCCGCAGGAGCAGACCCTCGAAGCCCCGCCCTGTGGGTGCCCACCCCGGTCCCGTCCCTTCTGCCCCCGCAGGACTTGGAGTTCTTGTTTCTTCTTGTATCTCCCTGTTTTCTTCCCTCTCTCTCTGCCCCTCCAGCGATCTAGACAGAGACTTTTGGAATAACAATGAAAGCACAGTGCAGCAGAAATGGAGCTCCTACCCTCCCAAGGAGTTTATTCTAAACATTTCACCCTACGCCCCTTATGGCGACCCACGACTGTCCCTCAAGTGAGTGACTTTACCTGGTTTGATCATATGTACAAGTATCCGCGCACGCCCTCCTCTCCCCTGCCCTCTCCGGCCCCCATACTTCCCCCCTGCTCCTTGCCCCACCTCCCCACCCGTCCGCCCCATGGGCAGGCTGGCCATGGAGACGAGCAACCCCTCCTGCCCCGCGCCTGCCTGCCCCCGTCCCACCCCTGCCCCAGGGCCAGCCACGCAGGAGAGCCCCCTCCAGCCACCTGGCCCCACTGCCCCACCCTCTGTGCAGTCAGGATGGGGTTGCCCGTTGGGTCCCTCCCTCTTGGTTGTGGCTCGCTTTTTCCTCCCTGCTGTGCGCTGCTGCCGTGGCTGCTGGTGGTCGGTGGTCGGTGGTCGGTGGTCCGTGGCGGTGGTGGCGGTGATGGTGGTGGTGGTGGTGATGACTTCTGACTAACATGGCTTTCTCTCTCTCCCTGCCTGGGGGCCTCCTGGCCTGGACAGCCCGCTCTTCCTCCGTCGTTAACCCTTCGTTGTCCTGTGGGATAGAGTTGGAGGTGGCTGCCCTCCCCTACCCCCGCCGCCCCTGCCCCAGGCGGTGGGGAGGGGCCCCCCTCCATTGTCGTGGTGCGTTGTTCTCCGACCCCAGCCCACCCGGTGCCCCTTTCTCCTCTGCAGGCTCCACTGTTAACCCATCTGCAGTGCTGATGTCTCTCTCTCTCTCTCTGTCTGTCTCTTGTCCGTCTGTCTCTCTCCTTCTCTCTCGCTGTCTCTTTCTTCCTTTTATCTGTCGTTGTCTCTCCTCCTCTTCCACCCCTCCACCCCCACGTGTGGCCTGTCCTCTCTCCCCCACCGCCACCCCCGGTGCCCCTCTGGCCGGGCTGCCTCGTGCATGCCTCAGTGGCACCCTCCTGTCGGGCGCCAAAGTGGCCGCCGTGGCGGGGCTGGCGGTGGAGCGGGAAGGCCGGCTGGGGGAGAAGCCGGCGCCGGTGCCACCACCCGGAGAGGACGCCTTGAGAAGCGGCGGGGCTGCCCCCAGCGAGCCGGGCAGCGGTGGCAAGGCGGGGAGAGGCCGCTGGCGGACGGTGCAGAGCCACCTGGCCGCAGGGAAGCTCAACTTGTCCAAGTGAGTGATGGCGCCCCGAGGCCGCGGGAGCCGCGAGCGCAGGCCCGCCCCTGCCAGGTGGACAGCGGGACCCCTGGCATGCCCGCTTCTGCCCCCAGAGGTGCCGTCCTCGGCCTCTGGCTCATTCCATTTCTTCACAAGATTCTCCCATCGCCCTTGCCATTGGGCACGACCAACTCCGCCATGCAGCGTCCCATTCCAGCCTCCGGTGGCTGCCCGCCAGTCTGTCCCTTTGCCAGCACCCAGTCATTCCATTCTCCCCCGCAGAGCAGCTTCATTTCAGTCCTCCGGCCACCCCGTCCTCTTTGGCCAGCCACCTCATCTCAGCTGTCAGGTCACCCTCCACAGGCAGCAGGCCCGTGGTTGTCCCCAAGGGATCATCCCATCCTTGTGGAGCCAGCCCACTTTAGCCTGCCTCTGCCACCCATCAGCCCCTGGGCATTTCCTCCTTCAGCCAGCAGATGGCTCTAGACCCGACATTGAGCCACCCATCCTCGACCACCTGGTGACTCCATCAGCTTTCCCCAGTCTTGCTTGTCAACCATGACACCATCTATTGCAGAATTTCATTCATGAGTGGCCGCCAGGCCGCCCCATTGGTTCATCTCATCTCAGCCATCCCCACTGGCTGTCCCAGTCTTGGTCAGTGAGCTGTCCCTCTGTCAGCTGCTGGGATTGGGTGTTCTTGGGGGTTGGGTTGTTGAGCCCCAGCTAGCTTCTCTCCAGATGCCAGAGGATCATCTGGATGTCAGGCAGAAGAGCTGTCCCTTTTTAATAGCTGAGGTTGTCAGTCAGTCCCAGTCTTGGGTGATGGACATAGGGTTGGTCCCTGTTTTCCAAAGATGATATGCACCCCCCTGAGGGGCAGGATTTTCTCATCTTGGCTTTTAGAAACTTCCAGTTCCCCACAGTGGAGCCCTTCCTGTCCTAGGACCCTCAACTGTGGCCATTCTCATGCATGGAATGTGGCTCCACTTTCAGCTACTGGAACAGCCTCATTCCCCATTAGCGGATCAGCCACCCCCTTGGCATGCCAACAGCCTTGACCTCTTCTTAGCTGTGGGCCTTCCTGTTGCTCAATATAGGGCCCACCTGGTTCTCTTTAGAAGTCCCACCAATGGGACCCCTGAGGGCCACCAGGCTGAGACCTCACTTGCTTGCTGGCTTAAATGAACCATGTCTACTTCTCCCCTCATATCTAGCCTCAGGGAAGTCCCAGAGGAAGCCCCACACCCCTCCAGAGTCAGGTCCCATGCCTGCCTTCCCCAAGCTGCCCCCGCCAGTCTCCAGGCTGGCTAGGCCGCCATGCCATTTGCTGGCTCCAGGCCTGAAGGAACCAATTTTAGTTTCCTGTGACTGAGAGGTTGTAAATTGGACTAATTTTGGATGTGATAGGAAACCAAAATGAGGTCAGCAAGGAGGAGGGGGAGGAGGCCGCCAATGTGCTGCCCTCCCTTTGCCTCCGCCGGCCCCCAGGGAGCTGTGGGCCTACCTGGCCAGCCAGGCCTGGGCCTGCCCCTGTGATAGCCCTGACTCCAGGCCTGAGGCAGGCAGGTTGCTGCCCCTCCAAGACTGCAGCTGAAACCATGTTTGCTTTCTTCTTTCTCTTTCATTCTCTCTTTACTATTCTCTCTCTCTCTCTCTCTCTCTCTCTCTCTCTCTCTCTCTCTCTCTCTCTCTCCTCTCTCTCTCTCTTTCTCTCAGCCCACAGGGGCAGCCTAACTGTTGTCTTTTGGTTCCCAGGGTAGGTTCAGGGGGTGAGTAAGGCTGAGGTCTGGCTGCAGTGGTGAACGTGGCTCCCAAAGGCCCTGGGACCTCCTCTCAAGTACTCCCGTGGGCACTTGACCAGGGTGCTCAGCTTCCCCGTGGTCCTGGGCCAGGGCCTGCAAACTTCCTCAGTGAAGGGCCAACTAGGAAATACTGAGGCTTTGCCAGGCCAGCTGTCTCTCACACTGCTTGGCCCTGCTGTGGCAGCAGAAAGGCAGTTACAGACAGTCTGTAAACTCATGCCAGTGGCTATGTTCCAATAAAACTTTATTTACAAAAGCAGTGTTGAGCCGGATGCAGCCCACAGGCTACACAGTTACCCACCCCTGCCCTAGTCGTTGGATTGGAAGAGGGAGGGAAGGGAGGTGGAAGAGGAGGTTTGCACTCTGAAGTTCGGGGAGGAGAAGCAGCTGACCTGGAGCTGTTCAGCCCAAGCTCTGGCCCCAGTCTCTGGTGCTCTAGTGACATCCTGCCTCTGGCCCTGCCTCTGGGATATACTGAAATCTCTGGCCAGGGCACAAAGCAGGCAGGTTATGTCAAGGGGAACCACAGACTCCTGAAGTCAGACAGTGGCGTGAGAGTGTTTACAGATACAGCACTTCCCCTGACCTCTGTGATGGAGGTGACTCAGGTTGTACCATTGTTTCAAACTCCCATCATACAGATGAAGAAACTGAGGCCCAGAGAGGAGACACCTTTCCCAGAATCTCTTGTGAGTAAGTGGCAGAGATGCTTTGATCCCAGGTCTCTCTGACCCTACACGGCCTCTCACCTGCCAGGTCCTATTTCCTGTCTTTACCTGTCCGGCTCCCCACTGCTCTTCAGAGAAGCTGGTGGTACTCTAGGGAATAAGACAAGATAGTCTCTGTCAGCACTGGGTCAAATGGCCAGAGAGTCCTGGGAGGAGGGCAAAGATACATCCCAGCCCCTGAGGCAGCCTTGACCTCAGAGCAGTGGTCTGCGGGCCCAAGACCACCTCCTCCCTCCCCTCCATGGACAAATTCTAAGGACCACTGGCTGATCCCCCTCACCAGGCATTTCTAGGCCAGCTCAGGTGCTGGCCTGGATTTCCTCGTGTCTCCGAAGGACAGTAGTACTTAGAACACAGAGACAGCCTTTCCTGGTGTCCCCCGTCGAGAGAGCAGAGGGAGTGGCGGCCACACCACAGCAGCCTCAGGGCCCAGGGACCTGCCTTCACCACGCAGCCACCGCCCTCAGATTGGCAGAGAGGTCGGCCCAGACAGGAGGCATCGGGGCTGTAGCCTAGCGGGGCCGAGGGCAGGGTGGTGGGGCCGACCTGGGGGCCTCCGGGTGGGCACACGGGCTTTATAGCCTCATGGGTGAGGCAGTAGCGGCGACGGCGGCCAGGACGACTCAGATGGCGGCTTGGTGAGGTCCAGCCGAGCGAGCGCAGCCTGCTCTGGGGCCTCGAGCCCTAGCCCTCGGCTCCTTTCTCCTCCACTGTGATCCCTTCACCTGCTTCTCCTTTCTCTCCTCTCCTCCACCCGCCCCAAGTTTCGAGGACTCCACCCTGTCCACGGCCACTACCCTTGAGTCTATCCCCAGCTCCACGGGAGAGCCGAAATGCCAGCGACCCCGCACCCTGATGCGGCAGCAGAGCCTGCAGCAGCCCCTGAGCCAGCACCAGCGGGCCCGGCAGCCCAGCCAGCCCACCACCAGCCAGAGCCTGGGCCAGCTGCAGGCCCACGCGGCCTCGGCACCGGGCTCCAACCCCCGGGCCTATGGCCGGGGCCAGGCTCGGCAGGCCACCTCGGCCGGCTCCAAGTACCGGGCGGCCGGGGGCCGCAGCCGCTCCAACCCGGGCAGCTGGGACCACGTGGTGGGGCAGATTCGAAACCGAGGCTTGGACATGAAATCCTTCCTGTAAGTCCTCCCCTTGAGCGGGCCAGCCCCCCACCTTCCCCTTCCAGCCTCCTTCCCCCCAAATCTCCTTGGGAGCAGCTGGTCACGTGTCATCCTGCGTCCTCCATATCCTTGGCAGTGTGCCAAGCAATCTCAGTGGTCCCCTCGGCAGCCTCTGTGGCTAGTGCCCGAGCATCCCTGTAACCTGAGCTACCTCTACTCTGAGGACCCCTGGACCCTCTTGGTGCTCAGAGAAAGGACCCACACCTCCAAAGTTAAATGGAGACATTAGACCGTGCTACAGAAGTCCCTGAGGTCCGTCTCCTCCCGGACAGGCCCAGGCTGCTCTGGGCCTCCCTGCCAGCCTCGCCTCTGCCCTACTCCCCTCCTAACCCTCTCTGCCACTCCCCCTCCAGGGTCCTGCCCTCCTCCACTCCACTTGACCTCCTCTCTGTAACCTGACTCTGCCAGCCTCCTGCCCCACACGTCCTCCCTCCCTCTCACTTCCCCTGTCCCTGCCATCAGCCTGTCCCCTGTCTCTTTGACCTTCTGTAGCCACCTGTCCTCCAGCTCCTGCCATGGCTTCCCAGGGCTCCTTCCTCCCCATAATGCCCCTTCCCCTGAGGACAAACCTGAGATGCTCCCAAAGCTTCCGAACTTGTAAACCACAGCCTTCTCTCAAGTGCACAGGCCCAGGAGGAACCCGCTGCCAGCATCCAACCTTAGTCACTTCCCCCAGCTGTTAGCGCCCCCTGCTGCCTGCCTTAAGGGACAGGCCCCTGCCCAGAAGCCCCCTCCCCAAGAGCCTTCTGGGCACCTATACTTGCTCTCGGCCCAAGACCGTATGGGCTGTAGTTCCCAGCATCACACCCTCCTCCAGCCTAACGTGGGCTTCCTTCCAGGCTCTGGGGACCATTCCCATCACCCGGGTCTTCCCTGGGAACACTTTTCAGGAGCTGGAGACCAGCAGAGTAAGCCTGGGAGAGGAGAAGGGGAGGAAGAAGGGTAAGCCCAAGACAGAGGCCCAGCTCACGACAAGATACAGGGAATTGGAAGGCATGCAGGCTCCTCAGAGCGTCTGTCTATCCAGCTGAGAGTCCAGCCTGAGCTTCCAGAGCAGTTGGGGGCAGTGCCCCCGGGAAAGGCCCTCCGACAGAAGAACCAGCTTTTCATGCCCATGCAAGAGACCTGTGGCCCCAGCCCAGCAGGGTGCTGCCTGGCTGTCTGTCAAATCAGGGCAGCCTATCCACTGACCCTTCAGATCCACGGGATCCCTGCACCACACAAGATGCCCGGCAAAGCCCCCTGTCTGGGATGGACGCTGCGGCCCTGGAGTAGATCTAGAAGAGTCAAGGAATTGGTTCTACCATGGCCTGGAGAGAACGGCAGGCCAGCCGGACCCCACACCTCTCTGCTCGGAATGTGTCCAGGATCTCCCCAGCTGCAGGAGGAGCCCTGGGTACTAAGTGCCCGCCACCTTCCTAGTCAACCGGGACCTGATGGGTGCCACTCACATGCTAGCATCCTGTGATGGGTGTCCCTCAATGTGCCAGCATCCTGTGCCTGCCCTTCTACCCACACAGGAGCTCTCACTCCCCCTACCTGCTGCTGCCCCCAAGTCACCGGCCTCTCAGCCCCCACCTCCTCTACTTGCCCCCAGCAGTGGTCAGCAAATTCTGCCTGTAAAGGCCTGATGATATTTTAGGCTTTGCAGGACTCACGTCGTCTCCATCACATGTTCCTTTTTCCTTTCTTCTTTTTTTAATCTTAGCCCTTTAAAACTATATGAACCACCTGGGTGCGGTGGCACACGCCGTGATCCCCGTGGCTCGGGAGGCTGAGGCAGGAGGATTGCAAATTCAAAGCCAGCCTCAGCAATTTAGCGTGGCCCTAAACAATTCAATGAGAGCCTATCTCGAAATAAAAATATAAAAAAAGAGCTGGGGATGTGGCTCCATAGTTAAGCACCCCTGGGTTCAATCCCTAGTACCAAAAAAATAAATTAATTAATTAAATGTACAAAACATTCTTAGCCTATGGACTGTGCACAAACAGGCCACAGACCACCATTTGCTGACCCATGCCATGCAGTTTTAGGTGACCTGTTTTGGAGACTCTTCTCTTGCTCCCAATACCAAGGCCCCTTCAGAGGGTCAGGTTGGGAGGAGGCCGTCCAGGCCCTGCAAGACCCACCCTTTGGTCAATGGGCATCCCCTCCAACATGGCCAGCATCTTCCCCTACTCTCTGGCTCCTGCCCCTTATCCTGCCCTTGCGGCCTGCAAAGCTGCAGAGAGTGACAAGTTGGGTGTTTATGCAGAGGCCACTCTGTTTTTAAGAAGAGCAAAAGGAGTCTCTGAAAAATGCATTAACCAGGGAAAAACATGTTGTTTTCCTTTGGTTTGCCTTCCCCCAGCTCCACCAGCTCCCGAGCAGCCAAATGGAATTTTACCAACTCTGAGAGAGTACCGGTGGGCAGGAACAAAGGGAACAAGGACTCATCCTGAGGGAAGCTGCAGCGTTGCTCCCCAAAAGTTATATGCAAGAACAAGTGTCAGCCTGCAGTGGCTGTGCCCAGGACCAAGACACAAAGACAAAGCAGGACCCTGCAGCTACCCAGCTTCTTCCCCGTGCTCAGCCCCCAGGGGCATCTTCCTCTCTCCAGAACCCCTGTGCTCTCAGCCCTCATCTCAGAGGCCATTTCTCACCTGTTTGAGGTCCTTTTTGATGATCTCTCTGGGGAATAATCACAGCCAGCTCTTGCCTTCCTTCAGTGGTTGAAGTGGTAGATTCCTGACCCAGGATCCTCTCCCTTCCAGAACATTCCATCCATCTTGTCACCTTTCCCTTGGCCCTTCTTGTGATTGGCTTTCAGGCCCACCCCATCTGAGAATGCCTCCTTGTTTTCATGAAAGACATAACACCCGACGAGCTCCACAAAGCCACCAGAAAATGCTCACGGACTCTGATGGTTTCAAGAGGCAGCCGCCACCCACGCTTCCTTTTCTTCCCAGGAAAATGCAGGTGACCCCAGCAAAGATCCCTGGCATTGCCCAGTGGTTCTCAGAGAAGGCACTATGACCTCTGACCCCAGACTACTGTGCACTCCAAGACACTTGGCCTTCTCCGTGCCCGCCCACCCATTCTGCCCTGGCCATGCTGCCCTCAGAGCACCATCACCCTCTGCAGGCGCAGGCTCCCTGCAGTCCTGCCAAGGCTTCTCCACACCTTGCCAAGTTCCTGCACTCTCTCTCTGCCTTCGCGTTTCCGTGCCTTCTGGACTGCTTCTCCAGTGAGAGGCCCCTGAACAGGACCCTCAGTCTTTGGCAGGCATTCCCTGGATCTCTAGAAAGGGGGACACAGGAGAGGGTCTGCTGTGCCCAGTACACCACATGCCAGAAGGGACTTCCATTCTCCTCTAATGGGCTGTACATCCTTGGGCCCCTTCTGGCTTCAAGGACATCTGGTTGACCATGACCCAAAGAGGTCTGTGATGGGCTTCCATGACCACAGGGTGCAGTGCCAATTGGATTTCAAATTTCTAAGATAGGGCTGGGGCTATCTCTCAGTTGCATGCACAAGGCCCTGGGTTCAATCCCCAGCACCATAAAACAAACAAAAAACCCCAAAGATGCTCCCCTCTGAGAACCTGAACCTGCGTGCACAATCCTAGAACAAGATGGTCACAGAGCCCCGCCCCCTTCTCCCAGGGGCCAAGATGACCCGAGCAACTTCAGCTGGGGATTCATTAGCCTTTAAAAATCTGCCATGTCCCAGGACCTGAGCTCCACTCCTGCCCCCACCGCCCCCAGCTGTCTCTATGTGTTCCCTTGGAACTGACCCACCACTGACAATCTCAGCCCTGTGTCATGTCACCACCCCCCCAACAGTCTGCTCTTGATCCAAGGCAAGGGGGTCCCAGGCTGAGGACAGCTCCCCTCTGTGCCCTCCCCGCCTCCCTCCTCTGTCCCACCACTGTTGACAGTCCTGAAGTTGGCTTTTCTTTTCCTGCAGGGCCAGTTTCTTACGCTTTTTTCTTCTCTCTCTTTGTCTCTGTCTCTGTCTCTCCTTCCCCCACCCTGCCCCTGCCTGTGGGGCCTCCTGGTCTCGCCCCGGCTGGTGGGCTGCCCACCGGGCAGGGAAGGCCGGATGGTGGTGCTATCCTTGGTCTTAGGGCTTTCGGAACAGGATGACTTTGCCAATATCCCTGACCTGCAAAACCCAGGAACCCAGCAGAACCAGAACGCTCAGGGGGACAAGAGGTACGAGCACGGGCGAGGCCCACGGCGCCGCAGAGACGGAGGCACGGGAGGCGGACCGCCTTGACCGGCCCGGCTGCTGGACCAGGCGGTGGTGCCTTCAGCGGACGCTGGAGCAGGAGGACGAGCCCCCTCCCCAGCTGTTGCCCCCTCACAGCCACCTTGGTGGTGTCCCTGGGGCTATGAAGGGACCATTCTGGATCAAGCCTGCTCCCCAGCATGCTGGCCCGGGCGGGCAGCGGGAGCAAGCCCAGCCTTCTTGGCCCCATCTCCCTGCTTGGCCCACCTCTGCTGCCCCCTCCATCTTTCATCTCTGCCCCACCCCTGACCCGGAAATCCCCGTTTCCCTGGAGGTTGGTGGACTGTGGAGGGGATGTCAGGGGAGGGCGCCAGCCTCACCCCCTCATCCCCGCCCCCTCAACCCCCCTGCTGCCTGGAGGTCCTGTTGGGCTGCTCAGCCATGGAAGGGGAGCCCCTGGTGAGGAGGGGATGGGGCATGGGAGAGGCCTGGTGACCAGAACGAACCAGAAGGGCAGCCCTTAAGGCCAGGTTTCAGGAGGAGGGAGTGGGGTCCAGGGCCAAGAGCAGCTGAGGCAGCTACTGGCGCAAGGGGGGGGCTTGGTTCCGTCAGCGCCCAGGGTCGCTGCTACCCTCGGGGCCCTGCAGAGACCCGGAATAGCCATGTGGCCGCAGCACGGGCCGAGCAGAGGCTGAGCAGAGGCTGAGCACTCACACCTCCACAGCCCGGGCCTTTGGGAATTCAGGGAAGCAGCTCCCACTGCCCCCAGAGTCCAGGAGGGCACTGCTTCAGGGGAAGGGGAAAGGTGGGGGGCCTCAGTGAAGGAGGCATCCTGCACCTCACCCAGCCTCCTCCCGACCTGGCCTTAGGCTGGGATGATCACACACCTGTGGTCCCAGAGATGGGAGGAGGGCTCGTCACCTGTGTTAGGTCTGCTTCCCACAAGATCAATGGGACGTGAGGCCCAGCAGCCAGGACACTGCCCATACCGCTGGTGTGGCCAGCACCTCACTCTGCAGCCTTGGCAGGTCACGGCCCTGCCTAGGCCTCTGCTTCTGCAGCTGTCGAGTCAGGACCAGCAGGGTGACCTCTAAGGAGCAGCCCTTCCGGCTCAGACATGCTAAGCTTCTAATGAAGAAATGGGCCTTGGGCTAGAGCACTTGTCAGACCCTGTGAGCTGGACAGGGACTGTTTGGACAGATGACCCTTTAGGGGCAGGAAAGGACTGGCCCGGGCTGCTGCCAGGGGCTTGTGGGTTAGGAAAGAGTGGATAGCCTGAGACCCCGAGGACTGGCTGTCCCTCCCGCGGCTTCTGGAGACCGGCCCTCTCATCTCCTTCCCGCAGAGTCCATGCTGCATGTCTGTGGTGGGCCGCGAGTCCCTGGAGAGTGGGCGGGGAGAGTGGGGCCCTGGCCTTTCACTCCTCGGCACAGATGGTGTCAGGCTCTGGGCCCATGTCCTTCTCAATGCTGGGCCGCAGGCAGGCCAGAGGGCCATGGGGAGAGGGCCAGGGTCACGGACAAGAGGACGCAGGGGTGCTAGAGCCCCCCGAAAGCCTGCTAAGAACCTGAGCCTCTGGCTGGGGAGAGGTGTGGAGCGTGAGGGAGCAGACGCAGGCTGGAAACGAGATTTCACCCCACCCGTGTTGACCAGCCGGCTCATCGTCCCCACGGCCTATTTTTACCTCCTCACCACTTAGGTCTCACTTCATATTTTAACACACCCATCCCTTCTGATCATGACATCAGCTTGTCCTCTGCCTTCCTGGGAAAGGGGGAGGGGCGTGGAGGTGGCAGCTCTCGCCCCACCCAACCTGACTTTCCCAGTGGACACATACCATTCCCACCTGGCCATGCCCACCCACCCGGGAACTCATTCCTCACGGCCCATGGAGCATTTCCCCAATGGTGGGCCACCCCGGGGGGGGCTACAGAGTCAAGTGATTCCCCTAGCAGGCCCTCCCCACCCCAAAGCTTGGCGCGGCCATCCTTGCTAGGCATCTTTGGTCCCCACCCTCTGGGCTCCGGTAACTTCCAACCTTGCAGTACTGGCTGGACCACCTGTCCCTCTTCAGCTTTCCCCTCCAGACCCAGAGTCTGCCCTTCTGCACCCCGTTCCACCCCTCCCAGCCCAGGGACCCTGTGGCTCTTGTTTGGGAGAACATGCCTCCCTTGGCCCGTAGCAACAGGCTTGTGGTAGACAGGGCCCAACGGAGGAGGAAGAGCCACTCCAGGTCCCAGACAAGATGGCAGTGTGGCCAAGGGACCACGGGAAGGCGGGAGGGGCAGTCCCTACCATCCCTTCAATCCCAGAAGGCCCCGAAGCCCCCACTCCAGGACCCTCCAAACCCTGGGCCTCTAGGTAGGACCTCGGAGCGGTGCTCTTGGACCTGGGGGGGAGCTGGCCGCTGGCCCCAGGAGGGCGACTGCCTCACTCATTCTGCACCACCCACCCACCCACCTCATGCTCGCAGCCATCCTCTCTCCATCGCTCCTGGGATCCAAATGGTTTCCACCGTGGCCCCACCCCCACCCCGGTGGGGGGCAGGGCGGGGCCAGGCCACCCCCATTGCTCGCCTCCTCCGAAGCCACCATGTTCCTCTGCCCCTGTGTGTCCCCTGCCTCCTCTCTGCCTCTCCTGTTGGCCGCCTTGCTCCTCCTTGTCCCTGTCCTCCCAACAGCCTTCTTCACATGTCTCTGACTAACTTTTCTTGGCCCCTCTCTCTCTCTCTCTCTCTCTCTCCCTCTTTTTCTCTCTCTGCCTCCTTCCTCCCATCTGCTCCTCACAGGGATGTCCCTGGGCCGGTGACGGGCCCCTTGGCCTCTCCCTCTGCCTCTCCCCATGCCTTTGTCTCTCCGTCTCTCTGTCCTGTGACCTCCGACAGCTTTGGTGGCGCTGACCATCTTCCCCAGGCTGCTCTGCAGCTGTGCCGAGCTGTGGCGTGGCCAAAATGACTCGACTTCTCATTCCTCCAGCAGTCAATCTCCGCTCTCCTCCTCTCCTGCTCTATTTTTAACCTGACTTTACCTCTCCAGCTATTTCAGTCTCCTCTTCCTCCCCGCGCTGTCTGCGTGAGCACGTGTCCACGTGTGTGTGTGTGTGTGCGTGTGTCCTCGTGTGTGCGGGGCCGCACGTGTGCTGCCGTGTCCGTGCCTCTGGGAAGGGTGTCCAGCCTGTTGAGGGCGGGGCGGGTGGCCAGGTTCTCACAGCAGGTGTATCAGGCACCTGATAATTGGGGTGTCTGTCCCTCCTCCTCCTTTCTGTTTCAGTCTGTCCCGGTTCACGTGCGCACCTTGGTATGCCTGGGTGTCCCCGAGTGGGTTTCCTCTGGGGACCTAAGTGTGCCCATCACTGTGTGTGTCCTCACGGCTGCTCTGGTTGACCTGCCTGATGCCCATGCTCTTCTCTCCCTGTGCCCCGGGTGTCTGCCTGCCTTGTGTGTTGGTGTGTGCGTGTCTGTGCGTGTCTGTGTGCACACCCTGCTCTTGGGTCCTGGCCTCCCCTCCAGGGCCTGGCATATCCGTGCATGTCTGTATGTGCCTGTCGTGGCCACCTGTGTGCTGGTGGCCAGTCTGTAGCAGAGGGCCGCGGCTTGTGTCCAGCCTGTGTGGCTCCCAGTCTGTGACTCTGCTCTGGAGGCTGTTCTATTTTAGCCTGTCCCAGGCCCCAGCTGCCGGTCCCCATCACCTCCTCGCTGCCTGCCCCCACCTCTTCCTTCTCATGGGACGTTCCAGCCTGGTCCCTGGGCAGGCTTTCAGGAGCCCCTTCCTGACTCCCAGCTGACCATAGCCCGGGCTTCCCACCCGGCCATGGAGCCAGAGCTCCTAGCCTCCTGGGAACGGCATGGAGCTGGGTGCTGACTGGTTGCTCGGTGGGTCCCCCATCTTTCTTTGGTCCTGGGTGAGAGCCTCATCAAGTGTGCACACCTCCGAGTAGGAGCAGGGTGGGGACTGGGGAGCACAGGGGTGACAACTTGCCCTACCCAGTAGGTGCTTTTAAATCTAAATTAGCTTCAATTAAATAAAATCTTCAGTTCTCAGTCACACTGGCCGCACTGCGAATGCCTGCTCACCTGTGTGGCCAGTGGCTAGTGCTTCAGAGGATTCAGACAGAGAACACTTGGGTTGTGGTAGAAATTCTGCCTGAGCGAGCTGTGTGGACAGGGGTCCTGACCTCACCTGGTCCGGAGGGTGGAAGAGCACCTGTGCTCTGCATAGCCTGAGTAAATAGGTGGGACACCTGGAAACAGACACTGGCATGTTTGCAGAGGGTAATGACGTGTAGAGGGACCTGGTCTCCACCCAGAGCCTCCCCAGTAAGCCTCCCCCTCCCAGGCTGGGGGGCAGGGTGGAGCAGGCCTCAGCAGAGGGGTGCAGACTCAACCAGGGGTGCAGACTCAGACCAACCATGCCAGCCAGTGCTTGAGGGCTAGAAGGCTTCTGGGGAACCCGAAGAGGGGGACCCCCACTCCAAACAGCCCCCCATGGGGTTAGTTAAGCGAGAGGCACCTGGGGCAGAGGCTGCAAGGGGGATGGGCCCTGAGCTCAAGTCTTTGGGGAAAAACAGGCCTCCTGACAGACACGAGCTCTGCCTCTGCCCGCCTGCAGAAGGTGGCAGGGGCTCAGGTCCTCCGAGAAGGTCCCGCTGCCACTCCAGGCCTGTGGCGCCCAGCCCAGCCCAGCCCCAGTCTGGACTCACTGGGACTCCCCCTCTCCCAGGTTGCCCACAGGAGGTAAGGCGGTGAACACAGCCCCAGTGCCAGGCCAGACGCCCCACGACGAGTCTGACCGCCGGACCGAGCCCCGCTCCTCCGTCTCGGACCTCGTCAACTCCCTCACCAGCGAGATGCTCATGGTGAGAAAGGCGGGGGGCCTGGGCCCCACAGAGAGCTGGGCTGGGAGGCAAGGAGCGCGCGCGCGCGCGTGTGTGTGTGTGTGTGTGTGTGTGCGTGTGTATTGGAAACTGGACGGCCTGGGACTGGCCTGCTTGGGCAGGGGACCCAGCCAGCGGTAGCCTGGAGAGCTAGGCACAGTGTGCTGACAGTGTGACTTGAGGGAGCAAGGCCTGGGGTCTCTTCTCAGCTCTTTTCACCAAAGTGACCTCTCTGGGCCTCAGTTTCCTCATCAGTCGGGTGAAAGTAAGAACGCCTCTCCTGCTTTGATCCCCTTCCAGATTGAGAAGGGACCTCGTGAGAGAGAGAAAGGCTGATAGATAAAAAGCCGGGTAGTAGACTTGGGGCAGTAGGATGACTTGGAGCGGGACCCCTGGGGTGGAACTCCCAGCTGAGGCCATCTCACCCCCACACCAGCACCCTCCCCACTTCCCACTGCTGGGAGGCTCAGAGAAGAGGAGAGCAGAACCACAGGTCCTGACTCTTATGAGGGGACAGCTTGCGGGATTCAGACCCTAGAGTGCTTCACCAAGGCCAAGGGTGTGGTTCATATGGCGCCCCCTGGTGGCAGCAATGAGGCCACTTGTCCTTCCTGTACTTCCAGAGTCCCTGAACTAGGCCAGAGGGGTTTCCAGGCAGCACCATTAAAGCTCTGGCAGCTCAGAAGTCCCAAGAAGGATCTAGAAGGGCCTAAGGGTGGGATCTGTTCCTACTGGACACGACCTGGGGCAAGTCCTTGCCTTGGTCACCCTCCCACCTATAGAGACAGGGAAGAGGGTTTGGGGACCCTCTGGCCCTTCCCAGTCCTGACATCAATTCAGAGTTCTCCCACCTGCCACCCTTCCTGAGCCCCACAAAACCTCCAGGCACCCCCCCTTCTGCCATTTAGGGTTGCATCCAGCTCTAACCAGCCACCCCAGCTGCCCCTTGCTAGCCTGGCATTTCCCAAGTTCCCATGTGCACACAGACCGCAAGCCACCTTGGTAAGAGTCCGACTTCCAGTCAGTGGGCTCTAGAGGGCTGCAGGGTCCACGTTTCTGTTGGACCCAGGCTAGGGCATCAGAACTTTCCCATCCCAGATCCGGTGGCTTCTGGACCCCCATCTCTCGCCAGCCACAGTCTCCCACAGGCCTGGCCCTGCACCGTCTCCCTCCTGTCTCCCCTACCTGTTCAGACAGCCCTGGTCATCCTCTGCTTTGGACACCCCTTGCCACAGCCCACCTGCCTGTACCACAGCCCGGTAATTGGTTACGTTTTCCAGTAGCCAGGTTCCCAGAAGGGACAGCCCTTTCCCAGCCAGCTTGCCTGCCCCTTGCTGCCCTCAGGGAGGGGCCCACAGGCGTGGCAGCGGAAGGAAGTGCAGGCCCATCTCCCTCTTGTGCTCAGCAGATGCCCAGAGGTGGGAGGGCAGAGTCTAATTGCCCAGTCGTATGCCAGTGCCAGGTCATCGGCATTAACAGTGACTGTAAAGATAAGCAGGAGAATTAGTCCCTGTGACTTCAACCTGCAGAGGCTTGCACTCAGGAGACAGGAGTCAGGCACCCAGAGCCGACCAGCAGAGGGGCGGGGGGGGGGGGTGTCAAGACCACCCTGACATCTGAGGTGCCCATGCCCTGGCACAGGGCCTGGCTGGGTGACCTGGGGGGTTAACTACTGGGGAAGGGGCTCAGGCAGCACCTCCCAGGGGCTGGGATGGGGTGGCCAGCCTGGGTGTCAGGAAGATAGCTCTTTAGGGCTCAGGACTGTGGCTTAGGAAGCTGGGAGTGGGCACTTTCTGAAGTGAAAACCACCTAGGACTCCTCTAGACCACCCTCTTGGGGAGCAAAGAGCCAGGTGGCCAAAGGACCTCAGCTGGGGCTCTAGTCACCCACGACTGCACCCCAACTTTAGAAGGGAAGGGGAAGGTGAGTGGCCCTGCTGGCCCTGCCTACCCATGTGATGTCCCAGGCTCTTGCTGCCTGGGCCAGGGGGCAGGCTACAGAGGAGGACTGTGGAAGGAACATGGACCCATCTAAACCTCCCAGGAACCTCACAAGCTATGTCCCGTGGCATCCATTCTGCAGATGCAGAAGCGGAGGTTCAAGGTGAAGGGGACTCCATGAACCGACCCTGGTCGGGTGGCCGTGTCCTCAGAGGGCCTGGGCTGGAGCTCCAGGGCTATCTGGTCAACCAAGGGCCCAGGTTTCCACTGCGAGGAAGACCAGCAAAGGCCGCTTGGCACCCCTGCCCACAGGGGTAAAGCCCCAGGTCTGGGTGTGGGACCCAGAGCCAGGTGCCGGGTGCTCAGAATGCCTGGGCGCCACCTGCGTGCAGGTTCCGCTTCACCATTCGGGCAAGGTGACTTGAGACAAGTTACCCAACCTCTCTGTGCTCCAAACCCAAATTGGAAACCAGTTGTGCCTGCCTTGTTGGGAGTAAGGATTGAGGGAGGGACACCTGGCACAGGGCAGGGGTGGCAGGCAGCTGATCCATAGCTTCTCACCTGGCACAGGGAAGGCTTTGCTGGCTGGGGGGAGTCTCCTATCACCCTGGGGTGTGGGCCTGCTCTGGTGGAAGGAGCAGGCCTTCAAGTCAGAGAGGGCTCCTACTGCTGTGCCATCTTGGACATGTGACTTAACCTCTCTGAGCCAGTCTCCTCAGCTAGAGAGCGGTGACAACTGCCTGGCCCGGCAGTAAGAAAGTGACTAAGAGTCGTCTGCCATGGTAGGTGCACCCTATCTGCATTACTATTACCTGTATCATGGAGCACTTCAGAGCCCGTGGCCGCCACTCTAGGAGGCAGGAGGGGATGTGGAGGTTTCCGTGGGGGAGAATAGATAGCCACCTGCAGCTTTGTCTGAACAGTGGCACCCCGGGTCCAATTCCTGGCTCCCATCTTATCGGCAGAGGCAGGGAGGGGGGCCAGTGGACCTGATGGGTCTAGACCCCAGCAGCTGGAAGTGGCAGGGTTTCAAGCCTGCCCAGATGCCCCCTCTGTGTAGCCACACTTCAGACCCTGGACAGGGAGACCCCCCAGCTGCTGCCTACTTTCCCACGTCGGGTGGGAATCACCCTCCCCAGGACTTCCTATTGAGTCCCTGGCTGCCAAGCGCCCGCCCTGAGAGTGGGCACCGGGGGCAGGTGCAGTCCCCTCCAGTGGTCCTGAGCCCGGCACGTAGTGCAGCCATCTGAGGCCCTTTGGAGACAGTATCGATGCCAGGGCCCACCCAGCCTGATCCAATCAGACTCCCTGGGGACAGGGAGGGGCAGATCTGTATTCTTCATTTCCCTGGTGACGCTGCCTCACACAAATAGACATCGCCTGCGGGAACACTTGCCTTTCTCATTTAGTAAATTGCATCACCCCCTGCACCCCAGAGAGTCGCCTTCATCAGAAACACCGTGCTAAACTCTTGAAGCTGTGAGCAGCCTCCACCTGTTTTGCAGCCCAGGCTGGGGTCAGCATGTCCCCAGGGCCCACAGGGAGAGTGGAGGGGACCCAGGGACCCGCACGCCCCAAGGCAGAGGCATCCCGACCTGGGGAGATGAGGGCAGCTGTGGTGGCCAGCACTTGGAGGGGGTTGACCCAGGACTGTGACAGGAGGTGGGAGAGGGGGTCTCTACACACAGATCCGGGGCTCAGGAAGAGGGGGCCGTTCCTGGATCTGCCTCCCTCTCTCCCTAAGAGACCTTGGTGAAGGTACTTGCTCGCTGGCCTGAACCTCCTCCTCCGGCCATGAATACGGGCTGGGCCACCACCTCCAGCCAGCCCCACGTGTGGCCAGCAGCAGAGAGCAGCTTGTGGCAGCGGGACCCGCCTCCAGCGCAGAAAGGCTTCTCAGCCATGCTGGGTTACAGGTGGCCCCGGGGAGCAGAGCCCTCCCCAACCTGCTGCCTCTCGCCCGCCCCCAGCTGTCCCCAGGCTCAGAGGAGGACGAGGCCCACGAGGGCTGCAGCCGAGAGAACCTGGGCAGGATCCAGTTCAGCGTCGGCTACAACTTCCAGGAGTCCACGCTCACCGTGAAGATCATGAAGGCCCAGGAGCTGCCAGCCAAGGACTTCAGCGGCACCAGCGACCCCTTCGTCAAGATCTACCTGCTGCCGGACAAGAAGCACAAGCTGGAGACCAAGGTGAAGCGGAAGAACCTGAACCCCCACTGGAACGAGACCTTCCTCTTTGAAGGTGAGACCGGCGCCCCCTCCCCACTGCCCCCTCCTCCCCACCCCACCGCCCACGTGGCCACGGGCACAGGCGCCTACGCACACGTGGGGGCACACAGGTGCACGAGCACGGGCAAGCCGGTATACGTGTGTGCACACGTGTGTGCACATGGACAGATACGTGTGTACATGTAAGTGCTCACACACGCCCCAGAGGCACCTGTCTCGGGCCAGTCAACCTGATGCATTTTGTGTGTAGCTGGGTCAGGTCTCGGGAGCCAGAAGGAGCCAACTTCACACCCAGAGGCCAAGGAGGGCCTCGTCCTGGGGAGGGCTGGACAGGCAGGAGGCACCCACGGCATTCAGAGATGGTGTGTCCCGGGGCACCCAGAGTGCAGTAGTTAAGAGCACAGGCCTGGCCCGGACTGTCTGGGTTTGGATCCCAGCTCTTCCACTTACTAGCTGTGTGCCCTGGGTAATTTCCTAAACATCTCTGTACCCTGGTCTCCTCATTTGTAAAAGAGATAATAAGGGCGAGTATTAAACAAATTACTAAAGTGTGAAAAGCACTCAGAACTGGGCCCTCCACTCAGAAAATGCTGACAGCTGTTTGTTAAACACATTCTGTTGCTGGTCTCTGACCCCTTCCTTCCCCCTCCCCAACCTGGGACAAGAGTAAAGACTCTGAGCCTTGTCCTCTGGCTCCAGGAGGCCACTGAGGCAAAAGTCCTTCCTCTCTCCTGAAACCTGGTGGCATCAATGCCACCAGGCCGGCTGCGTGCTCAGGAGCAGTTTCTACCCCAGGCCCCACCCCGCTTAGAGAGGCCATAACTCTCCCAGGAGCCTGGTTCAACCCGTGAGAATAAACCCCTATGGCTCCCACTGTCCGGTCCCCTGATTTCCAGAACCTGCAGGGACTCTTCCCCAATTGGTGTCCAGGTCTTTCGGCCCCCTCCAGATCTGCAAGATGGCCCTCAGTTCACCCACGAAGTAAGTGAGGGTGAGCTCAGATGTTTCCAGGTCCCCTCCTCCCTGTTCAGCACGGGGTCCAGTTGAGATGGTACAACTAGCCAGAGGTTTGGCCATCTGGAGGGATATGTGGCCAGCTGAAAGGGTGAGGATGATGGACAGAGCCACGGCCCCCCAATCCCTTCCACAAACATACCCAGCGTCAATTATGAACTGGGAACTGGGAGCTCAGAAAAGGTGGCCCTCGAGACGTTACTGATCTAATGGAGGACACAGAGGGGTTGAGACTTGGCCACACCCAGCATGTCAGCCGCTGCAGGAACCCGGTATGGGCTTCCCTTGGTGGTGCCGATTTCCCCAAAGAGGAGCCATTCAAGGTGGGTCCTGGGGAATGAGCAGGAGTGTGCCGGAGTAGAGCCCGCCTCCTCTGGTGTTGAAGAGAGCAGACTTGGGCGCTGCCAGCGACCCCAGAACACTTGTCCACATGCATTCACCTGAATAGATGCCGAGGGTCACCTGGGCAAGATCCCTTAGGCCCTCCAAGATGAGCAAGACCCAGTCCCCCTTAACAGGAGGACAGGGACCCTGTAGGATTTCAGAGGATTTCCTGTCCCTGCTCCTGCCAGTGCCTCTTTGGGCCTCTTCTGTTTCTGGGTGAAGGTGCTGGAACCCTCCAGAGCTCTTCTCTGCAGCTTCTCCACCAGTCAGGCTGGGGACTAGATGCCCTCTCCTTCCTGCTCACCCCTCATTCAGGATCTCAGCCCCCCAGGCGTCCAGGGTGGCCTGTGCCCTTCCACCCCCAAGGCCAGCCCCACCTCTAAGCCTCCCAGGGGACACTGACTCCTGGCTCCCATCTTCCTGTGGCTCCTTCTCCCCTTCCCCTCCCACCCACCTCCTGCACCTCAGCTCCTCTGTGCACCCCAGCACCTTCCTGCTGCTCCGGCAGACCATTTGTTCCCCTGGCACTTATTCATCTGTTCAATTATTTATCCTCTTAACAAGTGCCTACTATGTGCCAGAAATGGTGCTAGATGCCAGGGTCTGGTGGGCGATCACAGGGATGCCTTTCTGGAAATCCCAGCCTAGCGAGCGAGTCAGAAGACTAAACCTCTCACAGCTGGCGAAAAGGAGAGCGCCCATGTACCGGGGCGTCCCACCCAGCTGCGAAGTCAGGACAGAGCTAAGGCCTGAAGGATGGGAGTAAGCCAGCGGGTGCGGTGGGGGCCAGGCAGGAAGAGGACCAGGAAGGAGGCTTCAGCCTGTCATTGTTGAGTGGTCAGGAGACGAGCAGGAGCTGCCAAATTGTGGCAGGACTCGAAGCCAAGGTAGGGTGCCCAGCTTTTATTCTAAGTGCACCGGCAACCATTGAAAGGCTCCGAGCAGGAGAGTGCTGTGATGTGCTGCTATTTTTAAAAGATCACTCCGGCCACTGCGTTGAGAATGGACCCGGAGGAAGCGTGGACGTGGGGGGAGCGATCTGGAGACTCTTGCGGCTGTCTAGGCAAGAGGTGGCTGCACAGGGGAGGTGGCGCGGAGGAGGGGAGGGCTGCAGGATCTGTTCAGGAAGAACGGAAGGACAGGCCACCTTGGAAGGGGAAGGAGTGTCCCAGGGCACCAGTCCATTCCTGCTTCTCCACCCCCAACCTCAGTCCCCCAGGGGACTTGCTGGCAGCCTGATCTGCCTCAGACAGAGCCACTTGCCCAGACTTGCCTCAGGATGATTGGCAGTGGCAGCTCAGAGACGCCCATCACTGGGATGGACACATGGTAACTGAATGGATGCCCCACTTCTGCTGTTTGTAAGCCACGGGACTTTGGACAGGTAATTTAAGCCATCTGAGCCCCAGTTTCCTCATCTGTAAAATGGACAAGACACTCCAACAAAGGGGAACCATTGAGGGGTTCACATGGCCGGTAGCAGTTCTTACTAGCACTTCGGAAAGCCCTGACTGCGCCCAGGTGTGGCCTGCTGTCCTGGGTGTCGTGGCAGCAGGAGGACACAAGTCTCCCCTTCCTGGACTCTTCCCTCCTGCCTCCCTTCCTGGGCTCTGTGTGGCCTGCTGTCCCCCCTTCACCTCACGTCTGTCCCTCAGGTTTTCCCTACGAGAAGGTGGTACAGAGGGTCCTCTACCTCCAAGTCCTGGACTACGACCGTTTCAGCCGTAATGACCCCATCGGGGAGGTGTCCATCCCCCTCAACAAGGTGGACCTGACCCAGATGCAGACCTTCTGGAAGGATCTGAAGCCATGCAGCGATGGGAGTGTAAGGCCTCCCCTGTGGGCCTCTGGCTGGAGGGGGCTGCCTGGTCAGGGCTGGCAGGTCCACCCTAGTCCACCTCAGCCGTAGGAATGCCAGCCGGGCTTGGAGAGGGGTGCAGGCGGGCAGTCCCCAAGGAGGTGCCGACCCATCAGTGGTCCGAGCACTGTCCCTCAGCCCTCGGTGACTCACTGAGCTGTGGGAAAGAACCTGGGGCTCTGTTCAGGAAGTGGGGAGTCTGGGGGCAGGCGTGTAGAGACCTGCCAGAGGAGGGGACACAGTGTGACAACAATGGCAGACAGAGGGGTGGCTGCCAGGTCAGGCCAGAGGGGCCCTGAGGTCGGGGGAGGGGAGCCCCGTGCCCCTCCCCATGGCCCAGCCTCATCCCTCACCTGTCCCTCCCAGGGGAGCCGAGGGGAGCTGCTCCTGTCTCTCTGCTACAACCCCTCTGCCAACTCCATCATCGTGAACATCATCAAAGCCCGGAACCTCAAAGCCATGGACATCGGGGGCACATCAGGTGCTGGGGCTCCTGGAGGCAGGAGGCGGGCGGGCCAGGGGAGGCTCTGACTCGGGACGCCGCCGGCCCTCCTCCCTGACCCCCACACCTCCATTCCGGTCCCAGCTCCTCTACCCTAGAGACATCGGGGGGCCCCCTTTGGATGATCCTAAGGGACAGCAACATCTCGGACCCTGTCCTTTATGGAATCGGGAAGAACGGGACTGTTGTTCTATTGGGGAGGCCTGGGTTCAAATCCTGATTCTCTTGTCTCTGAGCTCGGGCTGCACCTGGCCCCTCTGGGGCTGGGTTTCCTCGTGGATGTTAGCAGGTGGCTCTGGGTGGCTGACAGCCAAGCTCCCCTCTGACTCTCCCAACCGAGCTGCTGATTCCCCCGGATCCTGTCTTGGGCCTGGCCTTGCCCTTTGGGGGGAAGCACACAGCCGCCCCCCCCCCGCCTTGGCTTCCACACATGGCAGGAGGAGAGGGTCCTAGGAGTCCCCCCACGCTGTCCCTCTAACCCTCCCCTCCCTTCCGCAGACCCCTACGTGAAGGTGTGGCTGATGTACAAAGACAAGCGGGTGGAGAAAAAGAAGACGGTGACCATGAAGAGGAACCTGAACCCCATCTTCAACGAGTCCTTCGCCTTCGACATCCCCACGGAGAAGCTGAGGGAGACGACCATCGTCATCACCGTCATGGACAAGGACAAGGTCAGCCGCAACGACGTCATAGGCAAGGTAGGCCCGGCAGTGGGGCGCACCCAGCCGGCCCCCGGCAGGCTGGACACCAGGGCGGGTCAGGCCTTCCCACCTCAGGGAAAACTGAGGGCATCAGACGGGACCTTCCTGAGGTTTCCCCCCAGGCATCTTCCTGGGGCTCACTCAGCTCAGGACAGACCCCTGGGAGGGAGGGAAAGAAGGAAGTGGCAGGGAAATGAGGCTCCTCAGACAGGCCCCCCGACTGCTCTGAGGGGCCATCTTCAGAGGACAAGCTGTGTGGGGCAATTTCGAGAGCTACCATCAGACTCCAAAGACCTAAGCTCAGGTCCCACCTGATCTGCCCACTAACAGCCGGGTGACCTTGGGCAAACCACTTGCCCTCTCTGAGCTTCAGGGTTCTTATCTATAAGATGGGGCTACAGGACTTTCCAGGGTGAAAGAAGAATTGCCCAAGTTATGTAGAGGTCCTCCCAATTGAAGATGACCTTCTCCTCCCGCCTGCTAATCCACAAATCCATTCCTGGCCTTGAGGTTTTCTTGGAGGAGATTCTGTGGCATAAACCCGTCCACTTTTCTACTTTGAAATGTCTGTCGTTGTGTTTGTATGTGGCTCAGTGTGGACAGGGTGGGCTCAGAAGTCAGCTCAGAAGGGGCAGGGAAGGGGGCTGAGCTGGGGGCAACCCTCAGCTAGGGATGGAGAACGCAGCTGTGCTCTTGGAGGCGAGGGAGGCAGTCTGGCCTCACAGAGGCGAGCTGGCCCTGCCTGCCATAAGTCTGGCCCAGGGAGCGTGACCAGCCACCTTGTCACAGGACAGTGCCACCCATATTCCAACATCTGGGCAGCGCCTGCTGAGCCTCCCAGGCCCAGCCCAGGCCAAGGGACGTGTAAACCATATCTGTTTATCGGTTCTCCTGAAGCTTCACCTTTGGGAACTGGGTGTTCCTTAGATTCCAATGGCAGGTCCTTTTGCAAAAGACCTACTTTCTGTTACTGAACCCAGGCAGAGGCAGAGCTGTTCTTTTTTGTGTGTGTGGTGGTGCTGGGGACTGAACCCAGGGCCTGGTGCATGCCAGGCAAGCCCTCTACCAGCTGAGCTGTGTCCCCAGCCCCGGATCTGTTCTTGCTCTGGCCTGGGGAGTTTAGGCAACCCTCTGAGTTCCAGCCCCTGCTCAGCCCTCGGAAGCCAGGAACCTGCCCTCTTATCGGTACAGCATAGCTCAAGGCTGTGGGCACCATGCTGGACGGAGGTTGCAAATGAGGACTTTTGCCAGAGTGGCCCCCAAACTCTGTGACCCTCGGGAGTGAACAGCCAGCGGGCTACAGAGACAGAACCCACAACTGAGAGGGTTTACTATGCACCACGTGCCCACGGAGCCGCGACACTCACCATCTCAAACTGTGTACAAGGCAGCCGCCATCAACACTCAGGGAGGCCTCGCCACCCATACGTGGCAGAGCTGGGGTTCGCCCCCATCTTTTTTTTTAACCCTTTCTCTTCTTTCTCCCTTCCCTCTTCTCTTTCCCTTTCTCTTGCTCTCTCATTCTCTCTCTCCCTCCCCACCCACCCCCCGCTCAGAACTTGAACCCAGTGCTCTACCACTGAGCTACATCCCCAGTCCTCTTTTATTTTATTGTGTAATAGGATCTTGCTGAGTTGCCCAGGTTGGCCTCAAACTTTTGATCCTCCTGCCTCAGCCTCCCAAGTCGCCGGCATTACAGGCATGCCTCACCATGCCCTGCTCTTCCCACCCCCAACACTTAAAATACTTTTTATTTGAATAGTTTTAGATTTTTAGAAAAGTAGCAGAGGTGGTGCTGATAGTTCCCATGTCCCCCTCGCCCCTACTCCCCATTGTCAGTCTGTCACATGAAGATAGTACATTCCTCACAGCCTGAGGATCTTACGAGGAACTAAAATTCAGGTTTTGTATTTTACCAGTTTTTCCATCAATATCCTCTCTCTGTTCTAGGATCTAGTTCAGGGTGTCACATGGCACTGAGTCGTCATGTCCCTGGTCTCCTCTGACAGTTTCTCAGTCTTCCTTTCTTGTCTGGGATCTTGACACCCTTGAGGGGTGCTGATCAGGTGTCCTATAGCACCCATTCCTTTTCCCCCCGCACTCTGAACAGTGCACTCTCCAGGCTGTGGTCAGCTGGGTCTGCCCTGGGGGTTCTGAAGATCCCCACACACAGCCCCACAAGATGTGAAGGCCCTAACACAACGGCTGGACAGGATGGGGCTGGGAGTCTAGGCCCCAAGTCCTGCATTTAAACCCCTGTGACTGTGAAGCTGGGAATGTAATTGTGCCTGGCTCCCAGCTATAAGGACGCCGTGATCCACAGATACAGAGCCCGAGTTCAGTGCCTGGCGTGTAGGTCCCCAGGAGGTGGGAGCGCCTGCAGTCATGGTGAGCTAGGCAGTGTCCCACAGGAGGGCAGGGAAGGCCGTGGACACAGACGGCCTCCACTGCCGCCTTCGCCCCCTCCACTGCAAAATAGGCCACAGGCTGATTTCAAAGGGCCAGGCAGGCCCGGGCTCCTGAGGTGGGGCCCAACCAAGGACATCTTCTGTGGGGTTGGTTGGCACTACGGCCTGGGGTGTCCCCGCTGGTGGGGGCAGGAGTTAGAGCCTGAGACGGGCCTAATGCATCTTCCTCCCTTTCTCCCCAGATCTACCTGTCCTGGAAGAGTGGGCCAGGGGAGGTGAAGCACTGGAAGGACATGATTGCCCGTCCCCGGCAGCCTGTGGCCCAGTGGCACCAGCTCAAGGCCTGAGTGGGGCCACGGGAGGCCCAGGGGACAAAGGCCCAGGTCCCCATCATGCCCTCACCACTTTATGCACAATGCCTGGCCTGCCCCTGTGCCGCCACGGGTGAGGGGAGGACCCTGAGGGCTCAGCCAGGGAGGGGTCCCGGGACTCAATTGGGCCCCACTCTAGGAAGCACCAGCCCCACCCTGCACCGGTCCAGCTCAGGGCGGGGCTCTGGGAGCCATTTTCCTGCTTTGCCCCTTTCCTTCCTGACTTGCTGATACTAAAGAAGTGGGGGAGAGCTCGAAAGCCAGCCGGGCAGACGGGCAGATCCCTCCAGAGGCCCGCCAGGTGGGCATGGTCCCCCGTTTTCTTTAAGGCAGTGCCTGGAGTGGAGAGAAGCCGCCCCTCCTACAGCCGTGGTTGCGGGCCCCAGAGACTAGAGCTGGGGCGTTTGGCCCTGGCTCAGCCAAGACAGGCCCACCCCCAGGGCAGTTTCAGGTGCCGCCTGGGCCCTGAATGCCAAGGGTAGTATATAGCCCGCTCCTGGGTCCTGGAGCCTGGGCCCTGTGTACTTGTGTTGTGTCCACTGTGTGTGTGTGTCTGTGTGTGTGAGAGAGAGAAAGGTGGGGACGCTTGCTCCCTTTCCCCCTGGGGCCAGCAGTGCTAAGACTGTGGGAGAGCAAGCTTTCGTGAGGGCAGGGTGGGGCTGGAGGTCTGGAGAGGTCTAGGCTGGGGGTCAGGGCCAGTGGAGGAGGGGAGAGGGGCAGACAGGCAGCTGTCTATTTGCCATCCCCCTCTCCTCACCCTGTCCCCTCAGGGACCTCCTCTGCTCAGAATCCTCCAGTGACTTCATCTCTTGGACATCCGTTCACAACTTTTAGGCACCTCTTGTGTGCACAGCATCTCGCCAGGATGCACCTGCTCCCCTCTTGCTCAGGGGTCCCAATCCCCCACTAGCTCTTCCCCAACACCTTTACCCAGACTCCCCCCTCCTTCCAGGTCTCGGATTCCAGCCAAATTGGAACCTCGCTCCATGCCCTCAGCTTCCCCGCCCTTCCTCCTCCCTCCCTGCCTGTGCAGCCTGGGCCCCCTCCTCACTCCCCGACCCCTCAACCCCCCTGGTGCGTGGACACCTTCCCTTTCCTTCCCCGTCCTCTGGGTCGTTTCTGATCTTCCTGACTTCTCACCTTCCCCACCCCTCCCTGGGCCTCCAGAAGAGCTCCTTCTGGCCCTCCCACCGCCGCAGGCAAACAAGCAGGGACCATTCCAGGAATTCTGAGGCTTCCCCACACAAAGAAGCTGTGGTTTCTCCTCCCCAGCTATTGCTGAGACTAGACCCGGCTTCTCCTTGGAGACAGCAGATTTCACAATGATCCCTGCTTAAGCCCTCTCATCGTTCCGCTGGCCGTGTATTGATACAAGACCCAGCTGGTGACAGTTTCAAATCCTGGGGTTCCACGTGCCCGGGCCGGACATTCGCAGGACGCACCGCCAGGTGGCGCCAGAACACCACGTCTGTGGTCACGGTCTTGCACGACAGTTCTACCCAGGATGGGCCTGGCACCCCAGGGAGACTTCGCACAGGGTCCCCACATCTAGAGCACAGTGAAAGCATAGACGTTCGGGAGCCACTTTCCTTCCGCGGGCTTCCCCTTGAGCGTTCCTTCTATGCCATAGTCAGGCCACCTTTTGCCCATATCCAAATGTTCCGCCCCCACCCCTTCCCTGCCCCTGGGATCCGGAGGACTATCACACTTAGTAGGTGAACCGTTTTATAGAGTGAAGAATGCTAATAATGTAAAGCAAATAGTCGCCCACATTCCTTGTAAATCCAAATGTTCCTCTAGTCTAGCTTTGCTTTAAATGGGGTCTGCCCCAACAGGTCGGTTTGGGGGAGCAGTCCCCAGCAGGGTCCCTGGAGGCTGTGTGGAAGTAGGAAGACAGAAGTTTTGAGAGGCCGAGGGACCTAGCAAATCTCCACCCCTCCCTCGGATCCGCCGGGTTTCCAATGCACCACTCCGAGTGGCGAGGCAACGAGCCCCACCCAGGGCCCCTGGCCGGCCTGAGCCCTCGGTACCCAGTTCACACCGAGGCGGTGAAGTAACAGCATCCCCTGCCGGAGCCCCGCCCATGGAACTCATAGCCAATCACATGCAGAGAGCTTCCCCTGCGGAGTCCGCTCTCAGTTGGACCCCATGCGGGCACGCAGATGCCCCCGCCTGGGTTCCCCAACACCCCACCGCCACCGCCACCCCCGGGCCGCTGGGGCTCGCTCCCGGAAGCCGGCGAGGGTCTGCAAGTGGTGGTTTGAGGGCCAGATGGGCTGGCACGAGAGGCAGCAGGTGATCTGGGGTGGAGACAGGACAGCCTAGGGCGATCAGAGAGCAAGGAATGGGGGAACTTGAGGGCGGGGGAGGGCACCAGAGCCCTGCCGCCGTCCCAGGATCCTGGGCAAGTCACCCACACTCCCTGGGCCTCAGTTTCCCTATCTGTAAAATGATGGTAATAATACTTCACCTACCTCATGGGGAGGTTGTGAGGCCGTCACCTGATCTGGGGGTCAAAGCAGGAGGACTCTGAAGGTGCTACCCGGGAGCAAAGTATTATTACCGCAGGCTGAGAGCAAGGCCCACCTGCCCTTCCCCCACAGAGCCTCCAGGGACCCCGAGGCCTCCAGGGCCGACTGTCTCTTCACTGTGTTCCAGCCCCCCTCAGTGTCATCTATACCACCTTTGTGGGCACCCTAGACTTAGTTGTTACCTTGTTCCTTTCTTGTGACCATCTCTCCCACTGTAACTGCTGTACAAATTCTACCTGCCCCAGGACCCCAACACCTGCCTTCAGGCACCAGAGGCCAGGCAAGGGACAAAGGAATACAGCCACAAAAAAAGCCAAGGGGGGATGCCCAGCCCAGCTGGGGCCCCAGGGGTGGAGATTGGTAGCCGCTGTTTGTATTGTGTTTGAGTCCTTGAGCGCAAGTGTTTTATAAAAAATAAAACAAAAACCCACTTCCACAAAAAAAAAAAAAAAAAATTTTTGCAGCAAAGAGAAATGAAGAAAAAACTGGAGAAGAAAAAAAAAAAAAAACATACAAAATTTTTCCACCACACGCACCCTCTAAGCCAGCAAGATTTCCTCTTTGCAAAATCATATTTTTGTGGGAACCGGCCCTGCTTTTTGTGGCAAGGCCTGTTCTGATTAATAAAGGATCGTGAAAAAGCAGGGCCTTGGCTCTTTCCTCTGTGGGTCCCAGCCTGTTCCCTCCCCAGGGAGAAGCAGCTGGGTGAGGGGATGGGGAGCCTGGGGCTGAGTCTCTCCTCCTCAGCTTGTCACCTCTGGGACTTCACTGGTGACCTGGCCCTTCCTGAGCTGCCCACCCATCTTCAGATCCAGACTATGACCCCACCAGCTGCCTCAGAAGCAAAGGCAGCTCCATCTCCCATATCAGGTGGGAGGCTTATTGGGAGAGGAGTCTCCTATAGGCCTCAGGGGTGCCCCTTGATTACCCACCCCACTGGACATCCCCTCCCTCAGTTCCCAAGGGAGGCTTGCTATCCTCCAAAGTAGGTCAGAAAACCAAAGCGGGACCCTTCACCTTCCACCACCACCTAAGAAGCTGCTGTGGTTTCCGGTCCAGTGTCCCCTTCCTGATTCCTGCAGGGTAAAGGACGGGAGAGCTCTGGGTCTGTTGGCTAGACCTGTGGCCTCTCTCCACCATTTTCTCTAGTTTAATTATTTAGGGTTAGAAAAATCTCTCCGACTCAAGAGAGCCCACGGCAAGTCCCATCCGAGGAACCTGGGAAGGGCGGTCCTATCTCACGCCAGCCTGCGTGGCCTGCGCAACGATTTCCTCCCTCTGCTCTTGGAGTTCAGAAGCAATAATCCCAGCCTCCCTACACCGCCCAGGGGCAGCAGGCCTGCTAGTTCTCAGGGGACTTCAGAAGGGAGGCATTACATCTGTTTCAGACATAGGACAAAAGGAATACTGGCCCATCTCTGGTCACGTGTCCACCTGCTGGCCCCTGCCCCACGCTGGATTAAAGGGGGCCACACACTTCCTGCTCCCCAGCTCCTGGGGCTGGCAGCGGCCTTCCTGTGCTGCACTAAAGTTCCTCCACCAAAGCTGCCCACCTTCTCCCTTTCTGCCCCCTCCATTTCCTACAACCTGGTTTTAATGTTCCTTTTCCAAGCTGGTTGTGGGCTGGGGATGTAGCTCAGGTGTAGAGAGATTGCCTAGCTCGGGAGGCCCTGGGCTCCACCTCCAGCACCACAAAAGAAAGAAGAAAAAGAAAGTGTTTTTTTCTTTGGCTTCAGATCTCTGTTGCAGAGATTGGAGAGAGCCCTGGGGTCAGGTAAGTAGCCTCAGGGGCACTCCCTTGGCTGAAGGAGCTTCTATTGGGGCTGTCAGAGGACAGCCCCGTGGGGAGTCGGCTCAGGCCCAACCATGGCTCAGGGCCTCTTTCCTGGACTGTCTGTCCGGCCTTCCACTTCTTTGGTACATGTGCAAGTACCGCTTTCACTTCATTCCATCTGTCTTCATCCGCCTGCTCTGAGCGACCCGCCCACCCCTCCCTGTGCCTGGAACCGCTGCTCTCTAGTGTTTTCTTTCTCCTGCAAGACCCTCCTAGTCGACAGTGCTTCCTGGAAGGCCGTGTCCTACTCCCTTCCCCCTCCCCCACAAAGGCAGCCAGAAGGACCTTTGGCTCGTGAAGACACTGCACTCCCCATGTCTCTTTCCCCGCATGTGTGTGCGTGCATGTATGTGCCTATGTGCGTGTGTGTTGTGTCTTGTTTAGATTGTGCGCCCCCTGGGCAGAGATCCCTGTCTGAACACATGTTCTATGTGGCACGCCTGGGTGTGCTAATAAATGTCCGTCTTCAGAACAACAGTGCCCGGATGTCTTGAGGAAGCTTTGGAACAAATGGTTGAAAAAGCCTGCTGGTAGTATTAGAGGCAGGACCCCTGGCTCCCAGGTACCTACCTGTTCGTCTTCCTATCCCAAGCCCCTGGGGGTGGGGGAAGCAGGGAAACGATCCTCCCTGTCCCTCATCTCCGCACTGTTCTGCTGGCCAGGAGGCCTGCTTGTCTGAAGGCTTGGGCACAGTGGCAGGGGTGGGGAGGGTAGCGACGGGCTGGAATTCTCATCCATTCCACTCAAAGACCTGATGCCAATCAAGGGCAGAGCAGCCCTTCGTGGTGTGGAGTGAGCACTGGGTTGGGAGTCCACACATCTGTTGATGGGCAAGTCACTTACCCTTCTGGCCCCGTGGCCGCCACCTCCCCTGCTCTTTTCTCATCTCAGTTCCCACAGCCTTCCTTCCTGCTCTGACCACCAAGTGCCCTTGGCCTCTCCCCTACATCCCTTGCATAAACACAACTCTTTGGGGCTTCCATGCCCTGCTCCCCACCCATCTCTGACTGCCCCAGGACAATGTGGGGAACCACAGACGCAGCTAGCCCTTCACCTCTCTATTTTCTCTGCTTCCCAGAGACCAATGTGGATGTCAAAGGAAGTTGTGGGGTGAGGGGTGCTGGACTCCTTCTACAGTGCTCTCTCCGTACCGGGGGAGGTGAGATGCCCAGATGCACCCTGCAATGGCTCCCTCAATTCCCTGGTCTCCCTCATTTTCTGTGGAAATGGAGACCCTCAATAGTTCTCTCAAGCCAGGCATCAGCACCTGCTTTAACCAGACTCACTTTCCAGAAGGAACTGGCTCCTGTTGTGGGGAGCAAGTGAACAGCACACCAGGCCCTGACAACTCTCCTGGCTCTGGGGAGAAACAGCCGGGCAGCCCCCGTTTGGCCGGCAAACAGCCATGGAGAAGGGTGCCATGCGAAAAGGGAGGGCTCTGTGTGCCTGTGATAGCCCCTGGGACACATCGCAGGGTCTTTGCTCTGACCTAGAGGGTGGGGACTTGGCAGGGAGGAAGTACAGGGAAACAGAGGAAGGAAACTTGGCTAATTCTGCATGAAAAGAAGGTAGATGGACACCAGAATGTTTGGGGTATTGTTCTGTAGCCTCATCTCTAAATAAACCCAGCTCCTTGTATACTGATGGAGAAGGAGATGGAGGCCCAGCCAAGCCCCAGACCCTCTTCCTCCGATCTTGCCCACCTCTCCACCTCTTTCTGTCCCGGCATAGCTGTCACTCTCATTTGCAAGCTGACTGTTCCAGATCCAGGCCCAGACTCCTCCTTAACCAGGGCCCAGCTCAGTGTGCCAGCCCTGCTGACCTTTTAGCCCCATATGACATCAGCCCCTGTTGCCATGGTGATGGAGGCCTGCAGGATCTTCTCATGGGAGATGGGCCTCTAGGTTTGAGATTTTAATTTTCTTCCTTTATTTTCCCCCTGAACAATGAGGGGAGAGAGAAATGCCGAAACTGAGCAAAAAAAAAAAAAAAAGACTATGGAGGAGATAGAGGAAGAGGTAAATGGAGGATGCGATGGAGACGTGTAGTCTCAGCAGGAGGGGGGGAGCACGGCTGAGAGAATACAGAAAGGTCAGCCCTGCTGGTGGGAAAACACCCAAGAACCAGGAAACTGAAAATTAAGCTTCAGAAAATCCAAGAGCCAAACTGAAAGAGGGGGCGAGCCAAGCCGAGCCGAGAAGGAAGTAAGTCACCCCAAGATGACGGGAAACCAGCCTTGATGGCTCAAGACATTTCTGAGCATTAGTTCCCCAGACAGGCAGGACACGACTTTTTGCCGGGGTCGGCCTGACACACAGCTGGGGCACGTGGATGGGGGCAGTGGGACCTGGTGCTCCCAGGGCTTATAAATAAACAGGCATGTGGGAAATGCACATTCTTTCTCCAAGAAATATAATTTATGTATACAGCCAGTTTTTTTTCTTCCTAAAGAAAACACTAACATGTGGGGCCACTGCCCCTGACAGTGTCCCTGAGTGTCCTTGGCCCTGGCCCCCTCCTCCTGTTATTGCTTGGATGGGAAAGAGCTGGCCCTGGGAATTGCAGAGCAAGGCCCCTCTCCTCACCCCCTTGAGGCTGTCCCTGGTGACGGAGTGGAGGCACACAGTGCCCATCCCGTGCCCCATGCCGTGCCAGCCACACTGGCTGTGCCCATTTAAGGGAATGGAGAGTGCAGGCAGCAGGAGAGGCCTGGAGCAGCCTCCCAGGCACAGAGCCCCTCTCTTCAGTGCAGGAGGCCCTGGAGGCACAGTGGCTTCTTTTCAATCTTGACAGCTGAAGGCTCAAAGCTGTGGGAAAGGGAGGGAGAGCTCTCTCTGCCCAGCAAGAGTCCAGGTACATGCTGGGAGAAGAGACCAGAATGAAGGTTGGCGGAGGAGGCCCTGCCTTCTTGGCCCCATACAAATATTAGGGCGCCTGAGGAGGGAGCTAGGTATGAGGAGCCCTGGTGAGAGGTGGGGGCAGCTGTGGCCTTAGGCCTCAATCTGTCTCCTACTTCTATCTTGGGCACAGGCCAGGGCTCCCAGGCCCTGACCTGGGCAGCACCTCCCCCCAAGGGCAGTTCTACCCTACACAGTTCACCCCAGAGGTAGCAGCTCTGGCACCAGAAAAGGTGGGCCTAGGAGATCCAAACCCCAGGAGGGTGGTGGGTACCCTGGGCATCCAGATTCAGTGACTGATATGATTCGTGCGTGGACAGTGGTGACCCCTGGTTCCAGGAGGAAACGGGCACCTGTTTTGTTGTCAATGGCTCTATCAGGGAGGAGACAGAGCCCAAACTTCTTGGTCTGAAGACTGCCCAGATCCACGAGGGGGCAGTCTTCTTATTCCCAGGAGTGTCTGAAGATGGCCCCCAGGCCTGCCTGTACCCAACAGCCAGCCCAAAGAGGCTTCTTCACTGCCCCAAGTAGGTTCCCACCCGTCCTACAGACCCAGGAAGCCATAGTCTTCCGAAGGCCGTCCTTCCAGAGTGACCGAAGCCCACCACCCAGCGCAGGGGTTCAGGTGCCCAGTCCTGGAGGGCCTTCCAGAGCGCGGAGGTTGCCCCCCGGGTGCGCCAGGACCCGGGAGCCAGCGCCGCCTATGAGCAGGTCTTCTTCCTCCTCATCCTCAAAGGCCCGTGCCGGGCGCCTGGGGAGCGGCCGCGGCGTAGGCTCATCGCGCTCCGCCATGCGCTCCACGGCGCCTTCGCCCACAAGGAAGACCGTGTCCGCGACGCGCGGGGGTCCGGTGACCGGGTTGTGGTCGTAAGAGAAGACGCGCAGCGCGCGCAACGGGTGTAAGTCGGGGAAGCCTCCCAGGCGGTTGCGGTCGAGGTCGAGGATATGCAGGCGGCCCATGCGCAGCAGCGCTGGCGGGAACTCCTCGAAGCGGTTACCGTAGAGCCAGAGGCCACGCAAGCCCGTCATGCGCGGCAGCTCCGCGGGCAGCGCGCGCAGCCGGTTGTCGCCCATCTGCAGCGATTGCAGCGCCACCAGGCGCAGCAGCGGTCGCGGAAAACGCCGCAGGAAGTTGCCCTCGATCCAGAGACAGCGAAGGCTCTGCAGCTGCGCGAAGTCGGCGGGCAGTGCCAGCAGCCGGTTGCTGCCCAGGTAGAGGCGCGTGAGGCGCGGCAGGCGACACAGGCCGTCGGGCAGGCGCTCGAGTTTGTTGAAGTCGAGCGCCAGAATGCGCAGCTCGCGCAGCTCCTCGATCTCCTCCGGCAGCTCGCGCAGCCCGGTGCCGCTCACGTACAGCTTCTGCAGGCGGCTCAGCGCGCACACTGCGCTGGGCAGCCGCCGCAGCCGCCGCCCGCTCAACTCCAGCTGTTGCTCGCCGCTGCGCAGCTGCTCCTCGGCGTCCGACGGCAGCTCATCCGGCGTAGACTCCGCGATGCCCATGGTCACGGGCCCCGGCCGGGGCCGCTGCCACCACCACTGCCCGGCATCGCCCCGCCCCGGCCGCCCCTCGGCCGCCCCGACGGGGCCGGGACGGCGCCGGCTTAGGGGCCCCCCGCCCCGGCCGGCCCCTGCGCCGGGAGGGGGGCCGTGCCGGGCCGGGAGGAGGCGCCCGCCTGGGGCCGAGCGCTGCGCTCAGCCGCCCGCCCTCCGGCCTCCCCCGCTGCCTCTGCCAGAGGCCGACTGGCTAGAGTTCGCACTGACTCGCAGCTTAGCGACCCGTCGCCCTGGCAACCCCCGACGCGCGCGTGGCTGCCAATGAAGCGGAGGGAGGGCGGGGAGGGGCGGGGCCAAGGCGCCGCCCGAGCGGGGTCCAGGCGCCCGAGCCCGCCCCCTGCCAGCCAATCCCGCCCACCCTGGAGCAGGGAACAGCCGAAGGATCCCTTCCAGCGAGCCCAGCGCTGGGCAGGCGCCGAGACCCGACGTCCGACACCACGGCGAACTTTTCGGAGGTTTTGTGCTCTCCCGGGCCGCGGGTCCTGAAGAAGGAAACCCTGGACCAAGAAACGCCAGCGCGACTCCCAGGGCTCAGAACAAAGAGCTCTCCAGGAGGGACTGTGGAGCGCTGTCACTGCAGGCCACTCAAGTCCTGCGACGTACGACCAGCCTCCTTGGGGGGTCACTTCAGGATAGTAACTCGGAGGGCTGTTGCTTTCTGTCCCTTTTCACATCTGAGGATTTGCAGGGACTCACGGCTTGACTCCGATGCCCGCCCCATACAGTCCACTGCCCAATAGCTTCCTCCCTGGTGTACCCACACCCCGATTTCCTGCCTTGTTCGATGCCCAAGAACTGTGGGTATCTGCGATAATCAAAAGCATGGGACAGGTGAACGGCTCTGAGAACCCCCAATGAGGTCCAGCCTCAGTCTGAAACTTCTTGCGCATGTTCCCACCAACCGCCATTTACCTCTCGCCTCCCAACCCGAGACCTCCTGCCAGAGGTCCTGGCCGACAGGCGCTGTCCGGTTTACTGAGAGGCTATAATGGAACCAGCGCTAAAAGCTTTGCGCTGAATCCTTGCCACAGCTGTTACCCCAATATCAAAGATAAAGAAACTTTGGCTCAGAGAGGTTTGACTTGAGCTGGTTGACTTTGAGCTGGGTGACCCGCCCAAGGTCACCCACCTGGTGAGCTGCAGGGATTTGAAGTGAGGTAGTGTGACTCAAGAGCCTGGGCTTTTAACCATATACTACTGGCAATAAATGGAATAATGTCACTCAAATGAATGTTTCCCCCAAACAGAACCTCTGATTCTCAATGCAAAACTACAAGGAAGGTGTTATTAATCCCAAGGGAGCAACCTTCTCAAGGTCACATAGTGAGGAGAGGTTGCTAGGTGGGAGCAAGTTCCATGCCTCCTCCATCGGGTCTTCTCTGGAACCCGTGGGCCGTGTCAACTGACTGAACTACAATCTCAGGGCAGCACCCTGCCCTCCAACCTACCCCACTTCCTTGCCCACTGCAATTAAAATGTTTAACATTTAAGAAAATGGAAGCTGGGTGGGGTGGCACATGCCTAGATACCCAGTCAGTCAGAAGGCTGAGGCAGGAGAATGGCTTGATTCCAGGAGTTCAAGACCAGTCTGGGCAAGATAATTAGACCCCCATCTCAAAAATAAAAACGTGGGGGGGGGGGGAAGAAGAGGAAAAAACAGAAAAGGGAGGCAACTTTACATCCAGGGAAATGTGTAGATTCTAAGGGTACCACTGGATGCATGTTAACAAATGTACATATTCCGAGTCACATTTCATCACCCAAGAGTTCCCAGGAACCTCTTCTACCTCCCACAGGCAACTATGATTATGACCTCTATTATCAGGGATCAGTGTTGCCTGTACTTGAACTTCACCTACATGAAGTTGTTCAGCACACACTTTTGTTCCTGTTGGCTTCTTTTGCTCTGATCACTGATGTGTGGAGGAACCAACAAACGAACAGGCAGAGCAACAGAGGTGTAATGCGTGAGGAGGTGCAGAGGCAGGTATTGGTCTAAGCCAGGAACCTGCCCCCTCCACCCATTAGACCCTCATCCTAGGAGAGGCTGCCAAGATGAAGTTGGGACCAGAGCCACAGTAGGGGACCCAGGCCAAGAATGAGCAGAGCCAGACCCCAGACCTGGGATGGACAAGGATTCTCAGCCCCAGTAGGAGGGGCCTCAAGCTCCTCTCAGATCTGTTTAAGCCGGGGTCCAACTCTCTCCCTTCTGCTCCGAGGTGGGCACCTCGGAGACCAGAAAGTTGGGGAAAACCCAGCCAGACTGACGAGATGAACACAAGTACTCCCCACTCCTGCCCCCCAAGCAGCTTCAGCAAGGGAACATTCGCTGTGGGGGAGGAAACACAGCCATCCCACCCTTGCCACCTGCTCGGGGCTGGCACTCCAGCACCAACCAGCCCTCTTGGGCACAGGCAGCAGCCCACATGAGCCCCTGCTTTCTGGTACCAGTCTGCCATAGCATCCCTGGGCCGGGAGCATGCGGGTCCAGCCCTCTTCTTTCCCAAGTCTTTGTCTTGCTCTCGGTAGATCCTGTACCTTCACCCCCCACCGGGCCCTTCTCAGTGGGTAAAGGTAAAATGTGCTGGCGTTCCGGGCCCACGCAGGCTGGCAGCGGGGCAATCATCGTGATGAATCACACTGGCACCGCGGGCGCCTGGTCCTTGCCGAGGCGTCACTAATTAATTAGTTTCACCCTCAGTACGGGGCCTCTCAGCCTTCCCCTACTCCCCAGGAAGGCAGGAACCAAGCCCAGCAAAGAGAGTGCGAGGAGGAGCAGGTCTCTGACAGCTCCAGATACGGTCCCAGGCCATGCCCTCTGCCCACTCACCGCAAAAATACCCAGTGTGTAGGTCCTCCAGGTCCTGGGAACTGCCTCCCTGCTCCTAATCATGAGCGAGAACCATCATGCCCACCCCCAAATCTGTGTTTTTAAATGAATTTTTTTGAAATACAGAAAAGGTACAAAGCTCTCTGTGATAAACACCCCTGTGCTTGGTCTCCAGCGTTGACAATTGTTCACATTTTGTCATACTCGCTTTCAATCTCTTTCCTTTTAAATAAAAGAAAGAAAACAGCAACGTAACACAGAAGGCTCCTTTGATTTCCCCCTCCATGTCCCCACAGGCACCTCTGCCTCCTCCCCACTGACCCTGCCAAGGCCACTGGGATTCTTCCTTCCTTCTCTGGGGCCAGGACCACCGGCTGCTGAGACTTGAATAAGAATCAGGGAATATTAGCCTGGCCTCTTAGAAAGCGAGGGCTTGAGCCTGTTAGAGCCAATCACAAAATGTCAGAGCAGGGAGGGGGGCTTAGCTCTTCCTGCAGGCCACTGATTTAAATGTCTGTAAGAAGCTTGTCCCAGAAAAATGCATGGAGGCAGGTTCTCACCCAACAATGTGCCCTTTCCCCAGGTTCCTGGTCTCCTGGAAGTCTAGTCCAGTTCCCTCATTTGGCAAAAAGAAAAGCGATGATGTCCCTTTATACCACGGCCCCCTCCCCTTCTCTGCATCATTCCAAACTTGAGTACCTTAAATCTTTCAGGTTTGTTCAGCAAACATTGAGCACCTGCTTCTAAGGCTAGGCACTGGGGATATAGTGATTATATTAATTATAAAACTGAACACTGCAGACAAAAATCCCAGCCTTTGTGGATTTATATTCCCGCCAGTGGAGATAGTCAACAAAACCCAGCAGTCCAGGGCTAACCAGGCTGTGGGGGACATAAGGCAAGGAGGAGAAAGGAGGCTGGGAGAGCTGCCCTTCAAAACCGAGTGGCCAGGGGAGGCCCCTTTGGGAGGACAGCATTGAGCCAAGATGAGAGAGGGGAGGTAAAGAGCCACTGAAGAAGTCTTGAGAGGGTGTGTTCCTGGCACAGGGGACTGCGGTGGGCAGGAGGGACTCAGGGTGGCCCTTGCAGCAAGAGGGAAGGTGGTAGCAGATGAGGTCAGAGAGGGAAAGTGAGGAGAGGGTGAGGAGGGGGAGTGGCGCATGGAGGCCGGTGGCCTTCCTGAAGACTTCAGCATTGAGGGTGAGGGGACTTTGAGCACAGTGCACGTGTCCTAACAAGAGCCTTTGGGCTCAGCTTCAGGAACAAGGCATGCGCGCATGCTGGGGAGGCCTCTGTGCAACCCGGGCCCCTCTCGTCTTGTTCCCTCCCACACGATAATGATAGTTGTCATTTACTGAGCACCTCCAGGTTGTCTAATTTACCCTTCATCACGGCTCTGCCAGGCAAGTACTGTATTCCCCACACTCCCACTCCACAGATGAGGAAACAGATTCAGAAGTTAAGTCACTCGATCGTCACCCAGCTGGTAGGAGGCTAAGCCATGATTCAAACCCAGACCATCTCATTGCAAAACCAGGGCTTTTTCTATTAGGTCTCAATGATCTTCTCAGCTAGGAGAAATTAAAGATACCACCTAGAGTGCCCCTGCCCTGCAAACAGCACAAACATGTCCGAGAGTGCCCTACTTGGAGTTTTGGATGTTGCTGGAGAAGTCGAGGGTGGCTGAGAGCCGTACCCCTCCCCTGCTCCATCCCAAGTCCCAGGGCTCAGTGTTTGCCTACCTGGGGGAGTGGGGGGTCCTGGAATCTGCAGGGCAAGGCTAGGAACCCCCAAGTAGGTCCAAGAGGACAGAACAAAAAGGTTCCCAAGTCCAAGGTCACCCTATGCCTGTGATCTGGGCTCAGGGTTCATCTCTTTACAAATTCCAGGCACTCTCGGGCCCACTTAGCCCCGGGACCTTCAGTGGGATGTGAAACTCACTGGCTGGCTTAGCCACTACCAATCTGCTCCTCCTACGCCACCCCCTTCCAGAAACCCGAGCCTACATGTGGCTTGGGATCACATTCCTCTGGAAACCTAGCTCTGGGAACATGAGAGCTGGAGTAACAGAGGCCAAGGGAGTGTATGGAAGGGGAGAGGCCGAGTTGGTGCCCAAGGCCAAACCTCCATGCTACCGACAGGAACCTGATCATCCTGAGGGATCTGGTGAGCCCCAGGTTACAAACTGGATTCCAGGTGACGTCCCTTTCTCCTAGGAAGAACTCGCAGCCGTCATTGCCGGCAGCTGCCCTTATGGTACTGTCTTCCGAATCAGTGGCCAAGTACGGGAGGGATTGTTTACTCAGAGAATACAGACCCAGGTTCCAACCATGTTGGCCAAGGACCCCTGGACTAGTCCCCCGCCCTCTGGCAGGGGCTGCTGAGGGTCACTGACTTCTCTTTTCTATCTTCCCTTTCTGAACACTGAGCAAAACTACTTTTCCCAGACCTGGGGGGTGGTCCCTTGGGACGAGCACTGGGTCAATCAGTGGACGTGGACAGAATTGAGACCGAAGCGTCAGTGTGCAATCTTCCCATGTTCTTTTACCTTCTGCCATTTTAACAATGGAAAGGTACCTGGGCCCCGGAGTCATCACTCCGATAAGAGCTACCTGACCCACTTCAACTGTGACAAGAATACAAACTAAATGTTTAATGTGTTTAGTTGTTTAGACTTGGGGGCTGTTTGTTATAGAATCCACCTGGACTATCTAGCATAATTCCTCTCAGTTCATCGGTTTCTTTCCAACCCAGGGCCTTTGCATATGTTGGTCCCTCTGCTTGGCTCACACTATCCTCTTTAGTGTCTTCTGCTAAAACCTCCCTGTCTCTGAGAATCCTTCCAGGATCCTCCAGAGTATGTCAATTCCCCACGGTATAGAAATTTGAGTGCCTATTTAGTTTTCAGTTATAATTAAATAATTAACTGTGGACTCTTTGATTGAAGGCTGTTTCCCCTATCGATGTGAATTAAAGAAGGATAGAAAGGGGCTGAGGTTGTGGCTCAGTGAAAGCGCTTGCCTCGCACCCAGTGTGAGACACTGGGTTCCATTCTCAGCACCACATAAAAATAAATTTTAAAAATAAAGTTGTTTTTTTTTTTTAAAGGATAGAGACTTTTCTCCTACATGTTCCTCTGGGGCCAACTAGCCACTGAGTAGCTCACCTTCTCTGCTAGTGTTTTATTGTTGTTGTTTGTTTGTTTTTGGTGGGGTGGTTATTGATGGTCTTTTTCTGTGTTTTTTTTTTTTCAGTACTAAGAATTGAACCCAGGGTGGTCTACCAGGTACACCCCAGGGATGTTCTGAGTTACATCCCCAGCCACATCCTCAGGGATGTTCTGAGTTACATCCCCAGCCTTTTTTTTTTTTTTGAGACAGGGTCTCACTAAGTTGCTCAGGCTGGCCCGGAACTTGTAACCCTCCTGCCTAGCCCCCCAGAGTGGCTGGAGGTTAAAGGCGTGTGTCACCAGGCCTGGTTTCACGCAATATTTTTAAAAATTCGAAATTAATATTAAAAATATCACGATAAACAAAATATTAAAGTTTGAAATACAGACCAGATCCATACGGTATGAAGCCCTTACTCAACGAGGGTGGGGTTAAGAAGAAACAGCAGTAATACTAATCCTGTTTTTGTTTAAAATGTTGAAGTTTTGTTCATCCTGAAGTTTTGGCATTCATTTTTATTTTTAAAAAATGATTGAATCAGGTGGTGGGGTTGTAGCTCAGTGGTAGAGGAGCCCCAGAATCAAATCCAAGACACACACACACACACACACACAGATTACATCAAACTATTACTTGATTATGAAGTTGTTGTTGTTTGCACTTTAAATATCATCCCTCGGGGGCAAGTGCCCTGCTCCCTTCACCCTAGTGCCAGGTCTTCCATGGGCGCCCCTGCCCCTGAGGGATTAACATGAAACAACAGGGAGATAAGGTTCTGATCATTTGAGATCATTTGAGGGTATTAACCATTGTTCTTCTAGACAATTTCCTTATATCCATTCTTCTCCATTCAGATGCTAAGTTGGCTCCCTCTGATTCCTGCTCTCCACGGGAAAACCAGAACAAAGAGTCAAACCCTTGGCTCTGAGTTGCAAAAGAGGCTTTGAAACCCAGAGCTGAGACTATAGCCCTACAAGAGCCGGGTTTTGAAAGAGAAATCTTTTTTGTCAGTCCAGAAGCCTTGCTTTGAACTTGAAGAGCAGACAGCTGATGCCCTAAGCCCTGGTGAAGGGAAGCCTGCGTCACCACAGAAGCAAAGATCCCACCCAAAAGCAGAGAGAGGCTTGACCTGCAGGTGGGAGAGAAGGGACAGTGTCACAACCCTCACACAGATGTGGGCCAAAGGGGGTCTAGGTGGCATGAGAGAAGCCCCTGGGTACACTTGAAGGATGCGGGGGTCAACGTGCACCTCCCTTAGCAGGTGTGTGGCCTGGGGACGGAGAGGCCTCAGTAGATGGAAGGTGAGCTAGCCACCTGCCCCCCGACACCCCCGACTCCTTCCACATGAGTGTCACAAGGAGGAGAACCCAGAATTTCTTTTTTTTTTTTTTTGTACTGGGGATTAAACCCAGGAGTGCTCAACCACTGAGCCCCATCTCAGTCCTTTTTCTTTTTTCTTTTGAGACAGGGTCTCTCGAAGTTGTTTAGGGGCTTGCTAAGTTGCTGAGGCTGGATTTGAACTTGGAATCCTCTTGCCTCTGCCACCTGAGTCGCTGGGATGACAGGATGCCCCACAGCACCTGGCGAGAACCCAGAAATTTCTACTCCTTCAAAGTGGATGCAGGTATGGCCAGGAGCAGACTGGTGGACCGAAGGGGTGCACAGTTCTGGTTAGGCAGCTGCAGAGTTGATTGCATAACCCTGGCAAACAGAGGCCAAAGGTCATAGTGGCTTCTGGGCAGGTACAAGGAGGACAGGCGTGGATGACCAAAGGCCACAAAGATCACACAGGGAGGGATGCAAGCTCCATGGAAGTTGTGCAGCTTCCCAGGAAGAAGGGGCAGAACTCCTGAACGGACTGGATTTGAGTCCTTAACGGCAGAACTTTCATTCAAAGGAGACTGTGCTGGGCTAGAAGTGTCTAGATTGATGAATCTGTGCGGTCAGTGACGGTCCCAGGTATCAGGAACTCGTAGCTGGGTCAGGCCTCTTAAGGACAGGTGTCTTTCCCATGTCTCATGAAGGGTCCTTCAGATCAGTAATCCCTGCCAGGTGTGTACAGCACTGGACTCACAGTCACACTCCAGGGCCATCTTAGTGATGGCCCCTATGTGGGAAGGACTTTTGAATGCTTTGGGCCTCCCAGCATCTGAAGCCCCTTCTTCTACTGGAGAGTCCCGCCTTCCAGCGCAGAAGCTGAAAACACTGGAAACTCACTTTCCCAGCATCCCTTGCAGGGTGGGTGCAGGCATGTGGCCTGGGAGTCACTCCCCAACATACCCACCCTCAATTCTGAATTGAAAATCAGCACTGCCGAGAAGAAGAAGGACCATCTGGGATCCCTTCCAAGGACAAGTGACGGGGAAGCCTGGCATCTTCACCAGCCCAGGTCCATGGGGTGACTTTGGCCATGTTACTGGCTTGGGTACCCTCTAAGCTTTGTCCTTGGGTCCACCTGAAGACGATATAAGTGCCCAAAGTCCTTTTAATAAATTTCTCCTCTGCTTAAATTAGCCAAAGCTGTTTTCTGTGACTTGCAGGGAACTCTGATACCTAAGCAACTGTCACTCAGGCAGCCACATGTTCCGCCCCTCCCCCACCCCACCCCGCCCTCCCTTCCTCCCCCCTCCTCAGGAATAAGTTTGGGTTCAGCAGCACCAGTCTTCTGTCCCAGGTGCCAGGCCCATGAGGAGAACGTGGCTTCACAAAAAAGACTGTCATCACCCCCCCCCCCCCCCCCCCCGGTCACTGGGCCCAAGGTGTCCTAGAGTTTGCCCCTAACACAGCTCCACCCCATCTGAGGTCAGGTAGGCCAGACAGGTGCCTGTCTTACCTGTTTACCTGGGGACCTCTGAAGACACACTCACACACACTCACACAAACACACACATACACAGACACACACCAGCTCTCATACTCCTTCTTTAGCAAAAGAAAACAAAGTCCCCTTCTTACCATGGGCTACAGACGGGAAGCTTCCGGGCCCCACTGCTGCCCACCCCAGACTCCCAGGCAACCGAGGTGAGGGGCGGATCCTCATGTTCAGAACAGAGAATGACAACGTGTGCTCACTCAGTCGAGTGGCTTTGGCCAAGTGGCTTTATCTCTCTGGCCCAGGATGACCTGGCTGTCACAAACGTCCTCCTAGGGGAGAGTTTATGACTCAGAGAACTCTCTTGTCAGAGCCTGCCTGCAGCAGCCCCTGCCAGGCCCCAGGTCGGGGCTTCCTGGGTCGGATTCCTCCTGTCCTTGTTGTTCCAGGGAACGATTCCTCAGGAATGGAGGGCTCTCCAGATGGTCAGAGAGGAAATGGGAGAAGCAATTCAGAGTTTCACCCACTCCATCTGTCTGTGCCCCAGCCCCACCAGCCCCAGCCTCCCCAGGAGGGCTTCCCACCACCCCAGCCGCCTCCGGTTCCCGCAGACAGATGCCTTTAAACACCCCCACCGTCCACCCCCGGCCCCTGGGAGCCTTGTTCTCCCAGCTGGACAGCTGTCAGGCCCATGAGCTGATGGTTCTGTGTCATCATGTGACCCAGGCCAGATGGTACCTGTCAACATCAGCTGCCACGGTACCATGACGAGCTGCAGCCTCACACATGTCCCCGTGCGTCAGAGGTGGGTGCACCAGTCCCCACCCCTGCTGCCCTACCATCCTTCTGGACCCCACACCCACATCCCTGCCGTCAGCACCCCTCCCACCTGTGTCCCCAGCCCTCCTCCCCCAGAGGGAGGCCCTCCTGTGTTCTCACTGCACGAGGTGAAGGCCCACAGCATATTCTCAGCACCTGGCAGGCGGTGGGAGCTGCAGAAAGGTTAATCATCATCTCTGCATACCTAGAAAGCTCCCTGAAATATCTGTGGCAGGGGGAGGGAGCGCTTAGCAGCAGCTACGAGAGTCACCCGCCGGAAGGGGTGACTCTGATGAACACTCCAAGCTGGTTACTGGATAAAGGGACAGGCAGGCAGCTGCCAGCAGGGCCTGGCAGAGGGTGGCCTTAGGGACGGGGTGGCCAGGGCTGCCCGGTCAGGCTGTGCAGATTGATCACCCACCAGTGATCAGGGAGGTCTGCTCCCGGAGACAGAGGGGCCCATCCAGGGCCTCACAGGAGACAGAGGACAGACCTTATGACATCAGCAGTGTGGCTTGGTCAAGCTCCCATCCCATTTAGGCCTGTTCCCTCTACTCCTGCAATAAAATAACTGTCCTGCTCAGTACTCTGAGTGTAGCATCTCGTGTCACCCTCAAGGCAGGGGCTGCTCTGAGCCCAGAAGCTCAGAATGGTTAAGTGACCAACTAGAGGTTGCATTGCTGGCTGTAGAACCTACCCGCAGGTTGTGGAGCACTGGGGTTTGAACCCTGGCTGACTCCAGAGCCCAGGCCTGAGACACCAGACGCTGCCACCCGCCTTGTCCTGGAGAGGAGAGCTCCCCAGTGGGGGGCCAGGCTGTAGGCTCAAACCTCGGAGGTCCAAAGGGACGAGGCCACTGAAGAAGGAAGCCACAATGCACACCCCTCACCCGGCTCCTTTCTCAGAGCTGTCCCCAAGGGGCTGGCTGCTCCACTTCTTTCCGGACTGCTTGTCACTCATCTCTGAGCCATCACACCGCCCCCTCTTAGGGCCTGCTGAGAAGCAGGAGCTCTCCTACACTCCCCTGAGGGCTCAGGGCAGGAGGGTGACAGGGCCAAACCCACGCAGCCAGCCAGTCCCTGTCTGGGGCTCAGTAGCCTGAAGAGCTTGGGGAGGCAGAGGACGCCTCAGCACCACCTTGGGGCCTGTAGGGACCCAGGTTGGAATGTGAAGTCCCTCAGGCCACCACAGGGAGCTGGCTGGAGTTGGTCAGAGGTGGGCAGGTGCCATGTGAGGGAGACCAGGAGGGCACGGTGCAGAGAAGAGGCACACCTGGGCACAGTAGGGGTCCTGCAGGGCCACAGCAGAGGCCGCTGGGCAAGGGGACACTCAGCAGGGTTCCGCTGCCAGCTGCAGAGGTGCAGGGAGCCCGGCTGACTGACACCTTGGTCAGGGCGGGTGATGGTCAGAAGCCCACACCGGACACCTCCTCTGGCAGGCAGGGCTGTCCTTCCTCCGTGGAACGTTCACTAATTCCAAAGGTGCCAGGCGCTGTCCTGGGCTATGGAGTCTCAGCTGTGAACAGGACGGTCACTGTATGTCCCCTTGTTGAGCTTCCTCATCGGAAGCGGGGTACGGAGAGGATCCCTAACATGGTCTTCAAGGCTTCCTGGAATTGGAGCCACCTGCCTTCCTTGTGGGAGTACCCACTTCTAGGCTCACTGTCCCCTGTCCCTGCCGTGCCTGGGGCTCATTCCCCTCCACTGTCCTCACCTGCACACCCCACCTCCAGGGACGGCCCCACCCTCCCCTGGAGCCCTCCCCTCCTCCATGAGGATCTGCCCTAGTAACTCCATGCACCGTGGTCCCAGCAGAGGCCAGGGCAACTTTGAGGTCACCGATGCCCTACCAGATGCTGCCACTGTGGCCAGCCGACCCCACGCCACCTCCTCATGCCTGCCTCTGAGATGAGGAGGTCCATACCCGCACCAGGCAGGGGCTCCAGGACTGCAGTCTCGGCCCCTCCTGGACCCTCTTCCTGGCACCCCATGTCCTGGGCCACCCGTCCTCACACAGCCCCCTGCTCTGGGTGGGCTCAGGCCTCATCCTGAGGTGGCCCAACTCTCGTGACCTGGAAACCGGGCGCAGGACCATAGAACAGGGTGGGGCTGGGGACGTGTAACCAGGCTCCGGTGTCCCCGACACCATATCCCCTGTTGGCCAGGTAGAAGTAGGATGAGCAGGAAACTCGATCTGAGAGAGGACCTCTCCGGAAAGGAGAATCGGAAAGTGCGTGGGGTGGGGTGGGGTGGGAGGGGTGGCGTGTGTGTTGTGTCTCCTCTGCATACGCTTCTGGTTTTTGTGTGCCCCTGTCTGTGCATGCCTTTAGGTCTCTGTGCACACACACGCATATGTGAGAGAACATCTTGGCTCTTCATGTGAATCTTATGTCCACATATGTTCGTCCTGGGTGTCTGTGTGTGGTGGCCGAGTCTATATATTTGTCTGTTGACACATACGTGCCTGTGCATTTGCGGGAGCTGTCTCCGAGGGTCTGTGCCATTTTTATTTGCATTTGTGTGTTTGCAGTGGCAGTGTGGACTTGTGTCTTTGGGCAGGGAGGGGCTGTGGGATCCCCTCACTCCCACTGTCACTCTGCCATGGCCAAGTCATGGCTGGAGCCCAGCTCAGTCCCAGGGCTGGTGACTCACCCTCAGTGTTGGGGGTATGTGCCAGCAGGTCCCCACCCACAGTCTAAGGGGCTGTCGCTGGGTCCTGAGTCTGGCTGGGTTTGTAGCCCAGAGACTCTATGTCCTCGAATCCCCTCCTCCAATGCTGGAACCATCTGGGGCCACCCACAGCCCACATGGAGCCCCAGCTAGGTTGCGGACAGCCCCAGGCCTGCCACTCAGGACTGCACTGGGTATAGCTAGTATCCAGGGCCAGCAGAGCTGCTCCACAGACACCCACTCAGGAGCCGGCTGGGTGCAGGGACCCTGAGGGCCCCTCTGCACACCAGGCTGAGCAGCAGGGCACAGGGGCAGCCCTGGCCCTGGGCTGGTGTCATATGACCTCAGCAGCTCATGTACCCTCTCTGGATCCAGGCTCTTCATGTACAAAATAAGGGACTGGCAGGACCACAGCATTCAACTGTATAGTTGCGCACTGCTCAAAGGCCCCTGGTTGAGGGGACAAAAGTGCTGAGAGCCGGCCCAGATCATGCCTTCGGGTCTGGAGGCCCCGGTGCCAGGCCACAGCCTGTGGAGGAAGACATGTAAATATTTCCCACAGACAATGGCTCAGAAGGGCCTCTGCTCAGGTGAGGCGCACCTCTGGTGAACGCCTTGTTCTCTTTCTCACAAAGGGGCTGCCTTGCTCCGGTCACTTGGTTGAAGGGAAAGAAGCCCCAACCCTTGGGATCAGCACCCCCATCCCGGGCCGGTGTCCAGTGCCCTTTCTTTTCAGACTTGCCTCCGTCTCAGAGACAGATCCTGCCACTCTCCCTTCCCTGCTACACCCTCTTCAGAAGCCATCCCTTGTGGGACCCAGGAGGGACGTGGAAGCTCTGTCCTAATCTTCACCCCTATTTTGTAGACCAGGTAGCCAAAACCTAGAGAAAGACAGCCACCTGCCTCTCAACTACCCCGCCCTCCTCCACCTCCCTCTCCCCGTCCCCTGGGGTCCTGCCATCCACACTTAACCACAGGCAGCACAGAATGAAGCACCCCATCTGTTGAATCATGTGACTCACAAGTTCCAACTTGTGGAGCCCCTGACTCCAAATCCAGCGCTAGCCCCACCCCCACCTCCTGCACCCACTGCTCCCGGCTCCCCCATCCCCTTCCAGCCACCCTGACAGTGACCATGACACTTCTCTCCTTCAGTGTTCTTTATTTCATCAGGAAAGTAGCTAGGGAGGCACTGTGGGGGAGGGGGTGGGGACAGGACAGAGGCTTGACTTCTGTCCTGTGGGGGTCCGTAAACCTGGGAGGAAAGAGCAGAGGCGAGGCCCTGACCCCTGGGAGGCCCCCCGATCACCCACCCCCACTCAGGGCTCAGGTTCCCAAAAGGTTGCTTGACCCGGGCTTGGGCACGGGCTGGCCCACACTGCCCCCTCACGCAGGGAGAGGTGCAGGTGGCTCGGGCCTTACCAGAGCCTCTGGCTCAGCTGGACGCCGGGTAGCGGCTGCTGTGAGGTGTGTCTCGGTAGAAGGGGTCAACTGAGGTCAGGGTTCTGCAGGGAGAGAGGAGGACAGTGGGAGACAGGGGCCGTGGGATCTGGGCCTTCTCTTCTGTGGGCCCCTCCCAGGGAGCCTGAGAGGACGCCAAGCCTGTCAGGGCGGCCAAGCCACAGACACTCGCTGCCTGCCAAGTCGGCCTTCTGTTGCGAAAGCATAGGTTTTGAGGAATTGAGCAGCAAGGAGTGACCGGAGAGGCAGAGCCTCCGTCCATTCATCTTTGGATGCATCTTCCACTGCCCCTGCCACCAAGGGCCACGCAGGGGCCAGGGCAGCAGCCGTGCAGAGGAGAGAGTCACTGGACAGAGGAGGGAAGGAGCCCAGGAGGGCAGGAGGACAGAGGCCAGGGGCCAGGATCAAGAGGAAATGGCCTCTCAGAGGGACGGACAGACAGACAAAGGCAGGTGTCCAGTGCCCTGGAGCTGGCCTGTAGCTGGCCGGGACGTGAGGAGGGGAGAGAACTGGGATGGGGATGCTACCTTCCCACATGGGGGTGCAGGCGCCTCAGGCTCTCTGTGGGATTGGGAGTGGCCTCCATGCGAGTGACCGGCTGGTTGAGTGCATAGCCTCCCATCTTCTGAGGCTGGATGCTACCTCGAGTCCAGCCTTCCCGGTCCAGACCCTTGGGGATGTTCTCAAAGTACCTAGAGAGGAGGGGGCTCTTGTTGGCCTCCCACGGGCCTCTACTCACCTCCATGGCCTCTGCAGGAATCTCAGCCCTCGGATCCCTCAGGCCTCCTTGCCTCTGCCTGTGTCCCCTGCGCCTGGTCACTCGAAGCCCTTGTCCACGTGGAGAACTCTCCCTCAGGAAGCCTGCCCTCCCACCTCTGGGGGTGGGGGCGTCCTGCTTCACCTCTTCTCCCTGGGGTCCTGCTCTCCTCCCATCGAATCCCATGCTCACCGAGCCCTGAGCCAGGCTCTGAGGGTGTCAAGCCCTGCCCTTGAGCTCAGAAGAGGGGGTACAGATAGGTCAGTGTGGAAGTCAATATTTAATGCCTTGGGGGGTCCAGGTGCACAGGGTGGACTAGCGTGTGCCTGACACCTGGCAGGAGCCCAGGAGCAGGCAGGTGGGTGGACCAGCCCAAACTGCTGGATCCTTAGGAAGGGGACATCCACCTCCCCAAGGGCAGGCACATAGTGGCCCCTGACACCCTGAGTGAGCCTCTGCCCCTCCCCCTGGACTCCTTGAGAATTAGAGCAGCCATTTGCTCCAAATCTGAGCTGGCGTCTTGTCCCAAGGGGAGGGATTTAGCCCAGGGCTTCCAGCTCCATCTCTGGTCTCTGGGCAGGGCTTCCCCTCAGCGGGATAACACTCCTGCTGAAGCTGTCCCTGCCCTCACCTCTAGGTCCTCCCCCTGCCCCGGCCTGGCCCTCCTGACCCTCCTCCTCTCTCTCCTGCTCACACCCGTAACGAGGACCCTGCCTGGCACTCAGGGCTCGGTGAGAACCTGACATGAACGGATCTGCGAGGTGTCTGGAGGCAGGAGAGGTGGCTTGAGGAGCAGGGCTGAGGGACACGTGTGACTGGATCAGGGGTCTGGAGAGGGGGAGCCTGAGAAGAGAGGGCATGGTGGGGCACTTGGAATACCGAGGTGTTGGGGGGGACAGTATGAATATGGACGCCACTTGGGTTTCCCGGCTCAGAGATTTTGTCCCCCAAATTACTCTTCCTTTATTCCACTCCTGTAAATGCCCTCTGTATGCAGTGCTGGCCCCGGGAGGCTCCCCCAGGGCGCCAGAGCCACCTCCTCCTGGAAGCCCTCCCTCATGCCTCTCTCCTGCCCAGGGAGCCCTGAGCCCATCTGCCAGGCACTGGAGGTAGTGTCTTAGTAGCTGCTCTTCCTGCTGACCCCTGTCCCGTGCCCACCAGCCACCAGCCAGCCTTCCACTGTCTTGCTCTGCATCTCTCAGAGAACTACCCTCAGGTTGCTGGAAGCTGCTTCACCTGAACAGAGAGACATCTAGCCTCTACTGTTCCCTGTGACAGCCTGTAGCAGTGACTGCTAGACGTGGGGTATAAATACCCCCACTCTCTTGCCTTTGGGCTGGGAAAATTCCGAGCTGTGTGCTTTGTGCTGTTTTCCAGAGTTTCCCCATGGGGCAGCTGGCTTTCTAACATCCCCATTACTGGAAGCCTGCCCTCCCCTTCCACGTCCCCTTCCCCACCCACCCAGTAAAGTGCCTTGCTCTGGAATGCTTGGCTGAGCGTGTCTAGCAGAGCCTGCACTGATTCAGGGTTGCTCTTCTTCCCCAGGCTGTGAGCTCATTGCCAGTCCCAGTCCGTCAAATGGGTTTCAGCTTTGGGCTGGGAGGGGGGCCTCACCCTTGATTGCAGGTGGTCAGGTACCGGCTATCCCTGTCGGGGTCATAGGAGCTCCGGACATAGGTGGGGTTCTTAAGGCTGAATCCTGTGGGCTCCTGAACAAGAGGGGTAGACAGGGAGCTGTGGGGTCTGGAGGGCTGGGGAGGCGGACGGGGAGGGCGGGCTGGGCTCTGCAGGCCTCACCTTGTTCCCCACGGCCTCGCGGCCCAGCAGGGCAACATTGGTCTGTTGCATCCGCTGTGGGGGCTGGAATGGACGGTGGCTCATGCTGCTGGGTTCCGGGCTGGGAGGGGGCACCTGCAGGGGGCAGGGCCACAAGAAGGCAGGCTGGGGTGGCCAGGCTGTGGCAGCGGGGTGGGAGGGGTGGTGGCGGAGGCACTTCCCCCTCCGGCCAATCTCATTTGCCTTTCCGGAACACACCTCTCCGTCCCAGCCCCGGGGCGCCACCCTCCCTCCTCCCCAAGGCCTGTGCTTCCCAGGCCTCTTAGCCTGGCCCCAACCCCAGCTCCTCCAGGAAACCTCCCTGTCACTCACTCTGGGGTTCAGGGTCCTTTCACTTGCTCTGCTGTAGCCTGTCTCCCGCTCAGAGCCTCTGGCCAGCACAGGCAGAAACTCATTTCCCTGGAGAGAGCAGAGCAGCTGTGGGCACTAGAGTGTGGCTGTCCCTCCCGCAACTCCCCAGAGCCACACTAACTGTCCCCACAGGTGTCCCTGACCTCCCTCGGTGCAGCTTACATGAGGGTGAGTCATGGGGAGGAAGTCCGACTTGGTGACACTCCGGTTTGAGAGGACCACCTGGAGGGACCCACAGGAGGAGGGTCAGCCCAGCGCAGGAAGCCAGCCCCGTCCGTCCCCCCCACTCAGCCTCCTTGTCCCCACTGGCTGAACACGCAGCAAGACTCCGCACCAATGGGGACTGCTGGGATGACTGAGGAAAGGCAAAAGTTGGGGGAGGAGGGGGAGGACATGTTCCTGAATGGGACCCAGCAGGAAGGCTCTTGTCTGAACCTGGCGGTGCCCTTGTGCCTCCCTGGACCTCAGTCTTTCCATCTATGAGACGGGACCAGAGACGATTTCTCCCAGGCTCCTTCACCTTGTGTTGGAACCCAGGGCTGCAGCTCATGGTTTTTTGAAAAACTAGAAACGCCCTGGGGGCAGGGGAGGGCCTCCATCCCCCTGAGACGCCAGCAGAGAACTGACAGGGTCCCCGGGCATGGCCTGGGAAGGCGGAGGAAAGACCTTCGGGCTTTTGGCGGCGTCCTCGGTGAAGCCGGTCTCCTCCTTGGCACCGATTGATTTCTTCTGCAGGAGATCTGGAGAGACAAGTCCCCGTGGGGCCTGGGTGACCTCCCCACTATGGCCTCTGAGGCTCAAACCCCGGCAGGAGGAAGTTGAGAAGGGAGGACACGGGGGTCCATGAGCTCCAGGGTCCATCCAGAGAACAGGAGAGGAAGGCCGAAGGAAGGGGCAGTGCTGAGGGCAGCAGCCAGCTCTGGTCAGGCCCAGGACACTGAGGTCAGCCCGGGTCGGGGGACAGTTCCCTCAAGCCACCTACCTATTTGTTCTTCTTTCTTCTGCTGATGGCTTCTGAGACCTAGGCCAGCACCAGATCGCCCTCGGTGGTCTCTCTCGGGGGTGGGGGATGGAGGTGGGGGGTGGAGGTAGGGGATGGTGGTGGGGGATGGAGGTGGGCTACAGGGCAGACTGGCTCAGACTCGGGCATACCTGGCTGCATGGACGGCTCCTTGAGGTACTTGGAATTGTACTCAGAAGTCATGAAGCGTGGGCCCTGGAACACAAGGTGGAGCATTGGGGAACACAAGGCAGACCAGGGCACAGTGGCTTTGGGTGGCAGTGGCACTAGCTTTTGGGTTGTGTGTGCTCCCGTGGGCCTGGGAGGGGAGCGCGTGAATAGCTCATGGGCCATCAATCTTTCCCTGACAGTGCACCAAGGTGTCTGAGATCTTCCCTGTTCCAACCATCACTAAGTCCCATACCACCCTCAACTTCCGGAAATGAGCCTCCAGGGACCCCGAGGGCAGGAAGGCTGCGAAGGGAGGAGAGAGGCTGAGGGTTCAGGTCACAGGTGGGGCCAGGGAGAGGAGGGGACCGGGATCATCATTGTGATGCTGTGTTGGAAATGTCGAGTCACAAATCCTTTGTCTCTTGGTGCCTGAGCCCATAGGTGACCAACTTGGGGCCAACTCCATGGTGACCAGAGCAGCACTCCCCCACAGGGGGAAGGAGGGGCGGGGCCTCCTCTCCCAGCCCCGCAGCCCAGGCAGGGCCCTTCCACTCAGTCCACTCACATATCGCGAGTTCTCCCAATCCAAGGAGCCCCTGCGCTGCTGCTGGTGGAGCAGGGGGACGTCCTTGGGCTCCAGCCCTGTGATAGACTGGGCTCCATGATCCTGGGTGTCAAAATGGACCTTCCTGACCTGGAGGAGGGAACACCAATGAACTTCCCGGGCAGGTGAGGGGCTGGCCATCACTTCCTGACCCTGATTCTGCCCGACACCTGCAGAGTTCCTGCTGGCAGCCAGAAAGACCCCTTATAACGAGCCAGGTGTCCGTCCTCCCCTCAGAGCCTGCAGCATTGCTATCACACTCACTGAGCCCCACGTCCTGACAGCAGCCCACAGGGCCTTTGCACCTGCTGTTGTCACTGCCTGGAACACTTCCCTCGGATGGCTGCAACTGGAGAAGCACCAGCCTCCCTCAAGTCTTTCCAGTGTCTAGTACCAAGCTGTCCCAAGTCCTTCCCTCCTGCTTTCTCCCTTCTCCCCTGCTGGATGCCCCCTGCTCTCATCACCTTCCAATAGAAAAGAGATGCTCAGGGCTGGGGGTGGGGCTCAGGGTTAGAGCCTGGCCTAGCACAATGGAGGCCCTTCGCTCCATCCCCAGCAGCACGCACACGCACACACATGCACATGCACACGCACACGTGCAATAGTGATGATCAGGATAGATTGGTTGGTAGACAAATGGATAAGTGCTCAGGTGCTAGGTGGTCATGGTGGTGACATGAGCGATGATAAAGTGACTTTAGACACAAACAATATGGGGTGATAAGGACAATGGACCATGGTGGACCCTGAGGGTGGTGGCGGGGGCTTGGACAGGTGGAGGGGATGCTGGTGATGATCAGGACAGAGGTGGGGATGATGACAGCATCCCCACAGGATGGAAGGAGGGAAGTGGAGGGATGAGGTCTTGTCAGTGCTGTCCCTGCCTTCTGGAAGGACCACCCAGCCTCCCGAGCCTGTGGGCCTCTCTGCTCGGAGCTCTGCCGCCTCCTGGCCTTGGCCGGGCACTGACCTCCTTAGTGAGGAGGCCTGCGTTGGGCTTCTCGCGCCCATAGGCAGAGGTCGTCTGGTACATGTTCCAGGGTAGTGGTTGCGTGCCATCAGGCACCTCCAGGGGACAGTAACTCTGACTGGTCACGGACTGGAAGTTGCTCCGGGCTTGTTCCCTGGCAGGGGACACAAGCGGAAGCTAGGCCCCCCACGGCCCCCTGCTCTGGTTCTTTGGAGGCTGGGTTGCTGAGGCCCAGAAGCTTCTCCCTCCCTCAGCCCTCTCCCAGGCACCCTACAAACATGCTGGGACCCACGCTGGGCACCAGGCCTCGGCCTGGCAAGGCTGAGTTCCCGTCCTGGGAGCCCGGAGCGGTTCGATTTGCTCTGACATTCCCAAGAGCTAAGTCCAGCCAGGCAGGAGTGGGAGAGGGAGTCAAGCCGACGTACCCCATGGCGGGGCTGTCCAGGGTATCCAGGTGGGGCTGGTAGGAGACCACAGGCCGGTAGTTTGATTTGTAGCCAGTGCCTACATGGCTGCCCATCCGGGGCTTAAATTCCTCCCGACCTGCCGGGGTGGATGAGAGAGACAGGTCAGCAGAGTGGGGGAGGAGGGGGCAGGGCTTCTAGGCAGGACCAGTATAGCATCCCCTAGGAGCCCAGGGTCACTGTGACAGGGGAAGCCTCAGTGTGACCGAAGCTGGCCCTTCAGGTCTGTGAGAACAGCAAATGGGGTGGGGTCAGGTCAGCGCGGCAGAATCACACTGTCAGAACGACCAGGAAGGGTCCTTGGAGGGTTCAGGGGATGGATCGATTCAGGGTAGACGGTGGCTCTGCAGTGTGACTCGCCCACGGGCCATTCCTCTCTTTGAGGACCCCTGCCTTCCTCCCCACTGTCCTGGAGGGGCTCCTGCACTCACCATAGGCTGTGCAGTAACTGGTGGCGTAGAATTTCAGGGGGTCCGTGCAGCCCCCCGAGCTCATCTTCACATAAGGAGACACAACACCCAAAGGGAGTTTTCCCATCATGATGCTGTAGGGCAGGGCCCCTGAGGGCCTAGGAAGGGACACAGGAGCCCCTCGTCAGTCCCCAGTCCAGACCGGGAAGACAGGCCCCCAGAGCTGACCCCTTTTCCCGGGCCTCAACCTCCCTCTGACACCCACACCCCAAATGGAGAAAAAGCAGAGCTCATCGGCTCTTGTTCCCTGTTCCATCTTCCCAACACCTAATGATCAACTCTTCCCATTCCCATCTTACAAGCCGGGAAACCCATTCTAAGGAACGAGGGATCTGGCCATAATCGGTGGCCGCGCCAGGATTCAGACCTGGGCTTGTGACTCCAGGCCCCTGAAGTCATCCCTCATCTGCGGGAATCCTGGGCCACCCCAGCTCCGACACTCACCACCAGGCCCACCTACCTCCTTGGCTCCCCTTCAGCTCCCTGGCCTTGCCCACCATCCACTGGAAGTTGGCCCTGCTCTCCTGGGGTGAGCAGTAGTGGGCCCCACCCTCACCTGCCCTTCACAGTGGTTCTGAGGTCCACAGAGGCCACAGGAGGCAGGAGCCGCTGCAGAGAGGCTGGGCCCTCCTGGAGTTGGCCAAGCCAGGAGTAACAGAGGGTTTCCTAGCAACCGGTGCCTGGCAACAGTGTTCCCACGCCTCTGAAGCCCTTCTAGGGCCAGGGCCCACTGAGGGGCTGACTTGGCCAGGAGGAGAAGGCCAGGAGCTGAGCAGAGCTCAGGGCCCCACCTCCAGCCTCCTGCACAAGGCCGGGAAGAGTTGCTGTCTGAGTGACAAGAAATAAAAGATAATCCCGAGCAATCACTGCCATTATTGAGTGCCCACTTCTGGCCAGACACTTTACATCCTTTATCTCCATCCTCCATGCTCTTCTAGGGCTATTATTACCCTATTTTCACAGGGGGAACACGAGGCTTAGACGCGCAGAGAGGCTTGACGGGCCGGAGATCCCACAATCAGAAAATAATGTGGTTGAGAATCAGGTGTAGGTGGATCTGGATCCCACTCCTTATGCTTCTCAGTAAATTAATGTTTACTATGTTCTGCTGGAAGCCAAGTCTGGGCTAAGCCCTTTTATACACATTACCCCGTGCAGTCCCCAAAACCACCCTGTGAACTGGGTACTTACCGTAAGGCCCACAAACCACAGCAGCCGTTTTAAAAGTGTGGTTCAAACCCGATCTGTCAACTTTGATGAGGCGCTTATTATCCTCCTGACGCCCCCACTTCCCCGTCTTAACCAAGAATGTGACTGTACCCACTTCCCCCGAGCTGTTGGCAGATTAATGAGCACATGGATTCAGCACCTGGCTGAGGTGAATGGAGGTAATAACAACCTTCCTGCCCACCGGGGTTCAAACAGAGCATTTCACCAGCTCCATGGCTCCATGGCTCGTGACGGCCCTCACCTCAAGTTGGCATGCAGGCTTACAAATGTTGTCACAATTAGATCTCTGGGAGGGGAGGAGAAGGCGCTGATTTGTAACATTTGCTGATAACTTCTGGGGTGTAAATACTTCCACTGTGGCTACTTTCAAACCACTAATGTGATGTCATTGAACCAGGGCTTGCGAAGCAGTCTCAACACCGTACAGTATTTCTGCCTTACAGATCCAACAGACGTGAGCAACCTTGAAGGCACAAATACTAAAAAATGTACTGACATAATTAGGAAGCCAGGAGTCTTAAGTATGTCTTACCTGTATTTTTAGTATAATTCATTATATTGTAACTTTAATCTCTATCAATGGAGTATTGGTGCAGGTTGTGCCTCAGTTTCCCATTCTGGAGAATGAGAGTAATAATGGTATCTACCTTCAGTTTGTAGCACTAATGAAGCACCTGGCCGGGCGCAGTGGCACACACCTGTAATCCCAGGGCTCAGGGGCTGAGGCAGGAGGATCAAGAGTTCAAAGCCAGCCTCAGCAACAGCGAAGCCCTAAGCAACTCAGTGAGACCTGGTCTCTAAATAAGATATAAAATAGGGCTGGGGATGTGGCTCTGTGGTCGAGTGCCTCTGAGTTCAATCCCCTGTACGCCCTCCTCAGCCCCAAGATGAAGTATCTGGCCTAGCACCTGCACATAGTGAGTGCCATCTGTTAGGCAGAGTTGGGCCCATGGGTTATAGACAGGGACCTGCCATCAGGGAACTCACAGGCTAAGGGGATCCCAGACACAGTGTAATGTGGGGAAGGAGTCCGACTCCAAAGCCTGAGCTCAAAACCTGCTTGTGCTGCAGGGGTTTTTTGTCTCTGGGCACATGTAGACAGAGCTTAACAAGCCTACTTGGCAGGGTCACGGGCGGATTTGAAATGCCCTAGGCATCGAGTCCGGCAGTAGGAGACATGCACAGGTGGAGAGCAGGGAAAGCCAGCAAGGTGCACCGAGGGGCACCCTGTGCTGGGAGGTGACTGGTCCTATGAGGCTGGAGGATGGAGAGGCTGGCTCCGCAGGGAGAAGCAGCCCCACGGAGGCCGCGGCCATGTCTCCTTTTAGCAGGGCCGAAGGAGCAGACAATAAATTTTCCTTACGGCGTTTTGGGCTGCTGGAGCTGACGAAGGACTTGGGCAGGGGTCCAAGGAGGGGGCTGCCCGCTGGGTCTGCGCTCTGCTGCGGTCCGGCAGCGGCCGGTAGTCCCCGCGGCCTGTGGTTTTTAGCTGTGTGGCGACACCTAGTGACCATAATTCGGAACTGCAGGCTATGCCGCAGGTGTAGCCCTGATAAGGCGGGGGTGGGGCTCGGGGCGGGGCTCCAGGAGGGGGCGGGGCGGCTGGTGGCCCAGGTCGCAGCGCTCAGCCCCTCTCAACTCACCAAGCAGAAGGGGCAGGGCTGGAGCCCCCGGGGAGCAGGAGCCTCGGGGCTGCCCACCTGGACGCAGGTCCTAGCTGGGTGATTTGGGGGCTTCTCACCTGTGGGCCTCGGTTCTGTCTGTACCGTGAAGGTACAGACTACCAACAATCCTTCCAGATCTGAGTGTAAGTTGGAAAATCGGGGCCCACCGCACGCCACTGCCTTCCCATAACTGTCCCCATTTATGAAACTCTTCCTCTGTGTCAAATGTGCGCCTTTTCACTACGAGATGATTGTTATGACGACCTCCTTACCTGTGGGGAAACAGCCTGAGGCCTCGCAGGTGGGAAGGAGTGGAGCTGGGTCCACACCCAACTTCCACGCGGGGAATTTGTGCCGGGCCTACGGGGACAGGCTGGCAAGCTCTCTGCCAAGTGCAGGGACAGCCGCAGAGAGCTCTAAGGCCACTTGGTCCAGCTCAGTGATTTTACAAAGAGATGGACTGCACTGGCCAGACAGACCAGCTCCTTCCCTTTTCCCGGGTAAGAAGATGGGCTAACACACCAGCCTCTGCCTCCCCTCTGAAGCCTGGGGTCAAAGCTTAGGGACCCAGTGAGGGGGCATCTTGGGCACTCAGGCTCATAGACCTCCTTAGCTGGGACAAACGGGGTCAGACCCTCCAAGGCCAGAATGTACCACCCCGAGTCCTGAACTGACACAGATGTCTATGCTCTGGACTCTGGGCAGTGTGGGCTGCGGGCCCCTAAGGACGAGGAACTGGAGCAGATGAGAGAGCACCCCCCAAGCACATGTTGTTTTGCTTTGGCTGATGTTTATCTTTATGGCCGTCTCAGAGGGCAGAACTGGGGCTCTCGTCCAAAAGAGATAGGTCAGCTTAATGGAGGGAAAACCTTCCTAACACACCAAACCCAGAATAGGCTGCCCTTGGGGAAGTGAGTTCCCTGTCCCAAGAGGCGTTCAGTGAAGCATCACAGGATGTCGGTAACAGCAGGCTCTCTCAGGCTTACTGGGTGCCAGGCACTGTCCAAGCACTTCCCACACTTAAATCTCTACACTCCCATGTGGTGGGGAGGACCAGCATCTCCATCTTATGGATGAAGGAACTAAGACACAGAGAGACTGTGTGCTTTGTCCAGGGTGGCACAGCTAGTAAGAGGAGGGGCTGCTATTTGAACCAGGCATCCTGGCTCCAAAGGCCATGTTGCTGACCATTTTGATGTGGCTTCACAAGTTAAGCCGAAGGTTCTCCTAGCTGTTTTCAAAATTTGACCTTCAATGACAAAAAAATCCTTAAAAAAATAAACCTCCTCCTTCCTGTGATCTCTCCCATTCCTAGCTCCTTGATCTGTACCAGTCACTGCTGGGCCAAAAATCCATAGAAGAAAAGATTTGAAATCCTCCACATTGGCTGAGATGACTGAGAATGGGAAGCGGGCCCTGGATGCAGCTGGAGAGTGGGGCCCAGGAGGCTGCTATGGTCAGCGAGGGGACTTCATTATACTCAGGCTTTTGAGATTGGAGCAAGCACAAAGAGAATTTTTTTACTGGCTTCAGATGCGCCCCCCGGAAAGGAGGGAATGGGGGGATGAGATGGGAGTTGGATAGGATCAGGTCTTGACCCAGAAACAGCCTAGATGCTCATGTGCTGGGCGAGCTGACGTCATCTTTCTGAGCCTCTTCTAGAACTTTGGTTTGAGGTCTAGCTGTGGCACAGATAGTGCTATATGACCTTTCTTTTCTTTTTCTTTCTTTTTTTAAGACTTTATTCTCTAGCATTTCTGTTTAATTTAAAGACTTAGGGTTTTTTTTTTTAAGTTGTTGATGGACCTTTACTTTTATTTATTTATATGTGGTGCTGAGAATCGAACTCAGTGGCTCACACATGCTATACTACCACTGAGCCACAACCCCAGCCCCTGTGTGACCTCTCTGGTCCTGCTGTTTTTGAAGAGATTCCATTGAGCCAGAATAGGATTTGGCTTATTTTAGTTTGGGTTGTGTAGTTTGGCCTTGAAATGAGGGTTGGCTCCCCGTCTTGTCTCCCTACCCCTCACAATCTGTGAGATAGCGGGACCCAGCCTATCCCCTTCCAAGGTCCTTCTCTCGCCTGTTACAGAGGAGTGTGGAGGGGGATCTGCTAACCCAGCCCACAGCCCACACTCAGCCTGGCCTTCTGGGACAGGAGGGACCTGCCCTGGCAGTTCCTCCCAGCCCAGCCGCCAGCAGTATTCACGGAGAACACGAGTGTCCTTGGAACAGAGTACATCATACCCTTCAACTGCCGACGGGAACATTGTTTCCAATCCCAGATTCTTCTGAGGTCACCTGACAACCCTAGCCCAGGCCAGGGACCTCTTCTCTGTGACCACCCAGCTCTTGGCTGCTCGGCTGACCCTCCCCGGGGAGCACTTTGAAGCTGTGCATATTCTAAGGGGCTCATATGGGAAGCACCGACTGGGGCCCTGTTTCCTGGTACCTCGATTCCTCGTGATAATGGGGACAGCTGCTCCCTGGGCCGGTGTGAGGGAAATGAGGACGCCAAGAAGATGCTCAGGGTCACAGCCGCATGGTGGGGCCCTGGGAGCAGTGGGTGATATGATAATGGGTGTGCAGATCAGGTCCAGGGAGTGGTCAGGGCCAGGTGATGTCTGGGCACCCTGTTGTTCCCCACTGGGACTAGCGAGCCTTGGTGAGGTGGGAGCTACAAGGCCTGGGACCTCTAAAAAGTGCTTGGGGGCTCTATTCACTGTGACATCACCACCAGGAACTGAAATCGCCCGGGGCTACTGGCCTAAGTCCATTCTCTTTCCCTGTCCCTCTCCTCTGTCTCCCTGTCTCTGTCCCCCCTCCCACCATCCTGGCCCAACTTCCTGTAGCTCATCTCCCTTCCGTGGACATGGCCACCTTATTGGGCTGGCTTGATGG